TTATCACGAATAAACTGGTTCTGATTTATAGAGTTAAACTTAATATATCAAAAATTAATAAATAAAAGCTATTACTTAAAAAAGAAACCGAACAAATTGATTTCACCCACAGTGGGATGCGAACCCAGGTCACGTCAAGACAAATTGATAGACATCATAATAACATAGCACATTAGCAGTTTTTTTTTGCAACTAATGATAAAGAGGAAAATGTTTGCGGTAAATGTGTGCGTTTGTATTTAAGTATGTATAATTAAATGAATACTAAAATTCAACTACGTTAGTCAAATTTATCACAATATTACAAATTAAAAAAAAAATAATAAAAATAATATATGAAAAAGTCATAGGCGCTTCGAACTGAAGCTAAACATTTCCAAGAAATATAATCTCGTTTTTTATGATGGTCACTTACAAACATCAAATCACACACATATGTACATATGTACATACAAAGTGATTGAAAATTATAACATTAAAATATGAATTCTATAAAACAGATAATTAAATTTTATTTGATGTATTTTTTGTATAAAAGAGTTTTGTGCAAATAATTTGATTTTATTACATAAAATGAAATTCGTATGCTACTAGCAAAATGGTGCTGATTTATATAGTTAAATTTCTAATAAAAAAAAAAAATAAAATAAATTATTCTTTAAATCGGGAAGTTGACGAACTGATTTTTCTCATGGTAGGATGCGAACCTAGGCCACTCCAAGTCAAATTGATAAAATCATAAAGAAAGCATACCTATCTTAATGCACGTACATGTATAAAGAAAAAAGCGGCTGCTGTAAATGCATGCATTTGTAAGTAAATTAATACTTAAACTCAACTACTACTAATGAGTAAGTTATTACAATTTTCTAAATTAAAAAATAAATAAAGAATAAAAAATTGAAAAATTTCAGTCGCGGGGGGTTTCGAACTCTGGCGAACCGTTTCCTTTTCTTCTATCTCTCCTTTGTTATGGTAGTCATAAAGTGATTCAAATAAAAGAACTAATTTAATTTCATTTGATTTTATTTTATTAAAATTAATTTAATTCTTTTGTATAAATAATTTAATTTTATTGCATTAAAGTGTATGTATTTAAGATTAATTTCTTTAATACAAACCAATACAATGCGTTTACGTTCGTGAATATTTTTAGTATTATCGACAGAGAACTTTTACAAAAGTCGTTACTGGAAAAAGGAGCATTTTCTTTTCCAAAGTCAATACTGGCAACTTTATATAACAGTGACGGTATCGGCAAACGGTGGTAACTTTGACTTCATGTAAGTTAACGTTTGCAAGTGGTTTTATTATTATCGACAGGGAATATAAACAGAAGGCGTAGATCGCTTTAGATAAAATTGAAAGTTATTTGTTTATTACAAATAAACTGGTTCTGATTTATAGAATTAAACTTCATATAACAAAAAATAAATAAATAAAAGCTGTTACTTAAAAAAGAAACCGAACAAATTGATTTCACCCACAGTGGGATGCGAACCTGTGACCTGACAAATTGATAGACATCATAATAACATAGCACATAAGCAGTTTTTTTTGCCACTAATGATAAAGAGGAAAATGTTTGCGATAAATGCATGCGTTTGTATTAAAGTATGTATAATTAAATGAATACTAAAATTCAACTACGTTAGTCAAATTTATCACAATATTACAAATTAAAAAAATAATAAAAATAATATATGAGAAAGTCATAGGCGCTTCGAACTGAAACTAAACATTTGCAAGAAATATAATCTCGTTTTTTATGATGGTCACTTACAAACATCAAATCACACACATATGTACTTATGTACATACAAAGTGATTGAAAATTATAACATTAAAATATGAATTCTATAAAACAAATTAATAAATTTTATTTGATGTATTTTTTGTATAAAAGAGTTTTGTGCAAATAATTTAATTTTATTACATAAAATGAAATTCGTATGCTACTTGCAAAATGGTTCTGATTTATATAGTTAAATTTCTATTAAAAAAAAAGAAATAAAAAAATTATTCTTTAAAAAGGGAAGTGGACGAACTGATTCTTCCCATGGCAGGATGCGAACCTAGGCCACTCCAAGTCAAATTGATAAAATCATAAAGAAAGCATACCTATCTTAATGCACGTACATGTATAAAGAAAAAAGCGGCTGCTGTAAATGCATGCATTTGCAAGTAAATTAATACTAAAACTCAACTACTACTAATGAGTAAGTTATTACAATTTTCTAAATTAAAAAATAAATAAAGAATAAAAAATTGAAAAATTTCAGTCGCGGGGGGTTTCGAACTCTGGCGAACCGTTTCCTTTTCTTCTACCTCTCCTTTGTTATGGTAGTCATAAAGTGATTCAAAATTATAAAACAATAAAAGAACTAATTTAATTTCATTTGATTTTATTTTATTAAAATTAATTTAATTCTTTTGTATAAATAATTTAATTTTATTGCATTAAAGTGTGTGTATTTAAGATTAACTTCTTTTATACAAACCAATACAATGCGTTTACGTGCGTGAATATTTTTAGTATTATCGACAGAGAACTTTAACAAAAGTCGTTACTAGCTTTAGGTTAAATGAAAATCTATTAGTTTGTTACGAATAAAATGATTCTGATTAATTTTTTAGTTATATAAATATATAAATACATTAATAAATAAAAATTATTATTTAAAAGGAGAAGGGAAGAGACTGATTTTTTCCACGGTAGGATGCGTACGTAGGTCACTTCAAGTTAAATTGTTGAAATTCAGAAAAAAACAATAAAATAGGTATAAATAGGTATACTGCCTGCTCTAAATGCATGCAATTATATTTAAGCATGTGTTAATGTAGGAAGTTATTACAATTTTATAAATTAAAAAATGTATAAAACATAAAATAATAATGGAAAAATTTCAGGCGCGCAGTGCTTCGAGCACGAGCTAAACATTCCCTTTCCCTTCTTTGTACTTCTCCTTAAATCAGACACATACACACGTAAAAAGTTATTGAAAATTATAACATTAAAATATGAATTAAATAAAACTATGCGTCATCAATACCTTTAAATAAAATTGTGTAATCAGGGCAAACTATAGTATCATCATATTGTAAGCCAGAAATGGATAATTTATGCTTATCTGAAATAGTTGACTTTATTTTAAGAAAACTCGGTAACAGTTGCGAAGGTGCTTGACCAAAGTGACGAATGTTTTAATTCTCTTTCCAGAATCAATTTCAGATAATTTCAAAACGGTTATTATTGATGGACCAATTATAAAACAACACATGAAAGATGTTAATTTTGTTATATCAATGACTAAAAGTGAATCCAATCCATTTTTTTTGGTTAGGAGCTAATTCCTAGGCAGAAAAATATCTGATAGCCACGTAGAGTTTGTTGAGTCCATGCTATCGAACTTGCAACAGCCAGGGTGAAATCCATTTCCTATACTCACATTTAGACATATTTTCACACGATCTGTGTAATTTTTTTGGGAAGGGTAAAAGGATAAGCAGCGTTATTGGTTTTATCAGGATCCTTGGGCATGGAAGAGAGTTATTAGTGGAGGCGGGTCTCACATATGATGCCAGACTACTGTACATTCCGGAAAGTCTTAGAAAATTTTTTAAAATATATATAAATTTATTTCATTTAAAAGATTAAATTTTTATTTAATTAGATAATTTACATTCTTTACTATATCATATTGAATTTAATTAAAATGGTTGAGAAAACTAATGCGAAATCAATTCAAGGTTGCAGGAAATACGACTGTTTACGCAAATATATTATTATTACAAACGATTGTTCAGGAAAGACGTCTCGTTACCTTTAAATGCAAATTTTGTAATCTAATTAATGACTATTACTTCTAGATAATACAACGTAAAATGAATGAAATATAATTTAAAAAAATTAAACTATTAAATATTTTTAATAAAATCTTTAAATATGTGGATAATAATCTTTTCTATCGCTGTTAGTGGCAAAGTTTTTTGTGATCGAAATATTCATGGTATACAAAGTTCACTATGGCTGGATTCCTACACCAAAAAGAGAAAAGATTAAATTTATGACAATATTGTCATTCTTCGCTTTTGCGTCACTTTTGCGTCACTTTTGCGTAGATTTTGTGATAGTGCCATTTTTTTAAGCTTAATATCAAAAGAGTTTTATGTCATATGAATGTCATTGGTTGTAGGAAAAATTACACCTAATATTACTATACTGTAGGGAAAATATCAAGACGCGTACGACAAATTGGAGGAGGAGTTCGGTTAGAAAGCGCTAGTCCAGTTATATAATTATTGTTAACTACTAGCTCTAGAATATCATTTATAAAGCGTTCTCCGAATATAATAAATTTTTGATTCATATTGTTTTAGGTACCTAATATTTGCTTGGCACTAGCTTGTGCATCTAGCCTCTAAGACTAAAAAATCATAGACTGTCTAAATGAAATACAAACAAGAAAGAAAATTGTATACCTTTTATGACTGTGTAAAATTTATGGTAGTATTCTATTTTGGGGATAAATATTAATTCTCATATCTAAAAAAAGGTTTGGAGAGGGGTATATATATGATGATATTGGGTATCAGTCTTGTATGATGTACGTGAGTATTATATCTGAACAAATCGGTTGTATGGGTGATAGATGATATGGTCCTACAATTTTGCTAATTTTACGCGATAACCTTTATATGTAGGTACGAATATATTATACAAAATTTTATTTTGGCGGAGTTTTGGCCAACGTTATACCCGTAGTCGTCAGATTTCTACAGTTTTCGGAACAAATATGTAATCCATCAAACATATATGTGCAAAATACTAAATTTCGCGCTCTTAGATTATTTTTTGGACAAATTTATGTCACGTCTGTCCGGTTCCAACAAATGATCATTCAAATATGCCAGTATATCAGTAAGGCAGGTTTGATTTAAATATTTCGAAACCGGGTGGACTTCCTATGAACAGGCGACTAAAAACATAAAATTTCATGTACTGATTCTGATCATATAACTGTTATGAATATTTATTCGACAAGTTACTATGCGTTACAAAAATCAATTGGCTACAACAAAAAATATTCATTGTAAGCTTTTGGAACTGATTAATAACGACGGCGACGATATACACGACGGCGAGCAGTTTTGTATCGGTAGCCATCATTAGAAGAGAAACTATGCCCAGGAGCAGACTCAGCATATGATGGCTCGGCGTACGATTCTGTCTGATAAGATGCAGCGGGTGTGTAGGATTCCGACTCGTATGACGGAGCTGCAGAATAAGAAGGTGCTGGAGCAGATGCTGCAGGTGGTAAGTACTCAACCGATGGTGACGATGCTGCTGGAGGCAAGTATTCGCTTGAAGGAGCGCCACGACGCTGACGGTGACGATATACTACACGTCTTTGAGTTTTGTAACGATAACCATCCGATGAGGAGAAACTATGAGCTGGAGCTGGTTCTGAGGCAGCATATTCTGGTTCTCCATAGGATACATCGGGAACAATATAAGATGGTGCTGGCTCGTAGCTTGGCGCAGGAGCACTGTAAGATGGACCTGGGGCAGAAGCAGCAAAACTATAACTAGGAGCTGGGGCACTATAACTTGCGGATGGAGCGGAGGCAGCTGCATGATTGGGTGGAAGATACTCATTGCTTAAGTGGCTAACGTCAGCTGTCACGAAAGCAACTAATGAACAAAGCAGTAAAACGAATTTCTGAAAAACATGAGAATATATGCAAATATTGAACTTTCACAAACCACGAGGACAAACGGTATGTGTGGAATTAGGATTAATATATCTTCTTTTTTCTTACCATTTGGATCATTTATTTTACTTCTTAAGCAATGAAAAAACCAATAGAAAGTGATACTTCCTCTTCACAAACTACTTGTTTTATACCCTCTTAGAAAGATTCGAAAAGTAGTCGTTGCACCACTTTATCTTGTTGATTACACACAACTGCAGATTATGCAAATAGTAACAAAGAAGTACTTTTCGACCGGTTATTTTAGTGAGTGTTCAGGAGTATGTGAATTCTATATTTCGAATTAATCATAAAAAAAATAAATAGCTCTTAGAAGTGAATGCAACTATAAAGGGAAACCGGATAAACATTAGTCTTTGTTTAAAAAGATTCTGTATTTAGTTGAGAATAACTTTACTGATTTTATTTCACATTTTGTTTGATTAAGCATTATGCAGAAAAAAAACAATGTAAACATGTTTGTATTTATATTTAATACTCCATTGTAGTCTCAAAAATATCTTAAGAGCTAAATAAACTTTTGCTAATGACGACGGTATACAATACGTCGGCGTGCTTTGTAACGGTATCCATCATCAGCCAGAATATGCGCTGGAGCAGCTTCAACTGGAACTGGAATAGGTGTGTACGATGGAGCAGGAGCTGAAGAAGCCTGTTGAACTGGAGGTAAGTATTCATTTGATGGTGCAACAGCTGAAGCTTCATGAACTGGGGGTAAGTATTCACTGGAAGGCAAGTGGCTTACATCACGTCGGTTCCTACGGAACACAACGCGGCGGTGGGTTTTGTAACGGTAGCCATCATCAGACAAAATATGCGCTGGGTAAGCCTCAACTACAACTGAAACAGGTGCGTAGGATGTAGGAGGTGCTGGAGCAGCCTGTTGAACTGGAGGTAAGTATTCACTTAATGGTGCAACAGCTGAAGCTTCTTGCCCTGGGGGTAAGTACTCACTGGAAGGCAAGTGGCTTACATCACGTCGGTTCCTACGGAACACAACGCGGCGGTGGGTTTTGTAACGGTAGCCATCATCAGCCAAAATATGGGCTGGAGAAGCCTCAACTGCAACAGACTGCTGAACTGGGGGCAAGTATTCATTTGATGGTATTACAGGCGAAGCTTCCTGAACTGGAGGTAAATATTCACTAGAAGGCGAATGGCTTACATCACGTCGGTTGCGACGGTATACAACTCGACGTTGTGTCTTGTAATGATAACCATCATCTGCCAAAATGTGGGCTGGAGCCGGAGCGTAGACTGGTGCAGCGCCTGGAGCAACCTCTTGAGCGGGGGGCAAATATTCGTTTGATGGCACTGTAACTGGCGCTTCTTGAACTGGAGGCAAGTATTCGTTGGACGGCAAATGACTAACATCAGCAGCTGTGGCTGCTACGTACAGGAACACAAACAGCAAAAGTTTCTATAATGGAAAAAATAACTATCTTCAAATTTGCTATAGAATAACGCATATCTATTTACAGAAAATCAACATACCATTTTCTTTTCTTTGAACCGCTGTGGTTACAGTTGTGAAGTCTGTATTCTAATAGAGAGCATTAGAATTTTTCAGTTATTTATATGGGCAACTACAGCATTACAAACATTTGGCATACTATGATGTAAGTTTGTATAAGCGTTCAAACTTTCTATCGTCTTCTCAATTTGGCCAACATTTTTTTCTTGGCTGCTTGATTTATATACATGTGTATGTAAGTTCTATTAGGTTTTCGCTTTATTTATACAGCAAATTACGCAACAATAAAAAAGATAACTTTACAATTATCTGTCCTAATAGATATGTATGTGTGTGCATATACATGACAATATTTGTATTATACCTAAAATATTCTTCTCTTATCGATGTAATCGCAAAATGAAATCTTTCTTCGAACTTTCCAAAATTTTCTGAAATTAATAGTTAAAGATACCACTTTTATAATAAGTACTAGTTTAAGGTATAATTTCGAAAAACGGGTCCAACTTTCTACTAATATTCCCCGCTAGTGTGCATGTAGATGATATTTCTATAAATGGAACGATCTAACGGAGCGTTCTAAATTTTGAAAGCACATACAAAAATTTCTTCGGAAAAATTCATTTTGTCTTGCTTTTCGCTAGGATATTTCCCAAAAAAACCTTTTTTATATTTTTACAGCTACCCCAGTGTTTTAAAATAAATGAAAATTTTAAGCCAGTTCAATATAAGTCACCTAGGTGTAAAAAACCCCTGATAAATCAGTATATTAACATAGTGTGTTTACACTATACTCAAAGTTGGCATTGAAATTAATAAGCCTACTTTCACAATTTGAAATCATATCATCCAATTCCTACAAGTTACTTTTCTATAATGAAGTTGAATAATATTAATGAAAAGAATATTCGAGGACATGTGTGTCTTTACCTATATAGGTATATTAATTATGTATACAAAAGTTTATTGTTCTATACTTTTGTATTAGAAAGACTTATGCAAATTAGTGAATGTATTCTTAAAAACTGAGCGAAAACTTTAAGTAAATACGAACTTTTAATAAATTAGCCACTATTTCAACTATCTAAATAGCTAATTAAGGTAGCCATTTGCCAGCTGATGGCTACAAAGTCACTAAACGACATACAAATAAACACACTCACATTTTCTAGTTATACCCCATGGAAAGGTGTGCGAAGAGTATATTTACTTTATTTGCTTAACATAACAACGTTAAATAATCGAGGTAAGACATGACAAGTATGTATATTTACTAAACCTTTTATAATGACGAGGTGTGCTAACTTAGTTGTAGAGATTTTATTGTAATTAGGTAATATAAATTAAATAACTTCGTACGTGTTTATATTTTGTAATTATATTTTCCGATTTTCATAGTTTCATTCATAGTTTTTAATCTTAAAAACATTTTTTGTGGGCTTCTTCTTCTCTTTTATAGATGTAAACACCGATTACGCTATTGTAGCCGAATTAATAACAATTCGCAATTTATTTACTTCTTTTCACTGTTTGCGCTAATTGGGGATACATAGTACAGCCAGGTCCTTCTCTATCTGGTTTTTCCAGTAGAAGTCTTCCTCTTTTTCTACTTCTACCGGCAAAACATTACCGGTTATATCTGCTCAGCATGTTTTTTAAACTGATCCGAATCACGTATTACATCGTTTGAATGCGGTGGTTATGAAGTCGACTCTCCATAACTTGGTTTTCTCTCTTGAAGTTCCGTGTCGTGCTGACTTAGAACAAATTCCTAACTAGAATCAGGCCTTTGAATAGTGGATAGTGTATTTGGGCTTGGTTGTAATACCTTTTTTTTGGGTCAAATTCAACATAAGAAATAATCTTAATAGTACCAATTAGTAATGTGAATATTCCAAGTTGAGATTTAAAAGCTAATTCTCCACACACCTAATAGAAACTGTCGGGATTGTTAGAACACTTTGGTGTGAGTGTAAGAGTTACACAATCGCCTAAATGAACCTATTCAAAACAAAGGAACGTATAAATATTATATAAGACCAGAAAGTAGAAAATAATGAGTTTGAATCATTCGTACGTATTATAATTTTTTTAGAGGAATGACAGATTAAAAGCATCAATGATTAAAACATATATATTATAACTATTTAAATATTTTATTGTATTCAAAAATTAATTTTAATCTACAGAAATATTTTTCTTATACTATTATATAACGTTTAAATTTTAAGACTATATTTTTCCTGTTATAAAAGCGTCTATTATAAATAAATATAACCAAGCGGTTGACAGTTCAACTGAACTGAAGTTAGCTCTTCCTTACACTTATATCTTTCTAAGAACCGCAGAGCCGGCTGAATGCGTCTTGATGTCTGCGTGCGCTTAAGTATTGTGCTCTAGCATACCCCTACGTTTCTCTAAGCTTGCCCTATATTCAGTTCAAATTTATGTAAATCAATTCTAATTCGCTATGATTCTCTCACATCAGTCAGCTATATTACCCCTCGGGGTTTTTACTGCTTTCCAAGTGTTCATTGCTTTTATAATTATCAGCAACACTTTTATACTTTAGACAAAATTATTCATATTCAGAAGTTACGTTTACCCGAAAATTTTTGCTTATTTCTAGTTTTAACATAATGAATTTTAAATTCAATCAAACAGGTTATGTCATCCAAATACAAATTTTTGGAGCAGAAATATGCTAGGTTATGCAGTAACTTTTTAATAAAGTATTAATGGTTAAATACGTATATGTATGTTATACATATGCATGAACCTATTCATTCATATTCATATGTAAAATGCACATAAATATCTCTGAAAATATTAAAATCACCTTCCTGCTAGATACTGTTTGAAAAGTCAATTGAAATTGAGTGGTAAATGAAACGGTTTTTAATTGCTTGATCACCATTTTGGTATGTATGAATCCTTTTGGAAAAAATCACCATAATTAATTTACTTCTTTTCAACAAAAACGTTATGTTTGATAAATAAAGTTTGATTTGATATGAGAATTATAGAAAAACGAGATCGTAATAGTTGAAAGTTAGTTTGTTATTTAATATTTTATTCCTTATGCTTAAATTGCAACTTCAAAATTGTCGAAAAGTTGATTTCAAATAAAATTTCAAATGAAAAACTATATTTTTGTAATAGCAAATATATACTTTTTTTACGTTGGAGTTCTTTATTTAATTATCGTTTAAACGTTATTTTAAAGTATCTTGTGATATGCCAAATGAAACACTAGTCATTTGTTCAATTAATTCTTCTTTTATGCTGGCATATCACAAGATACTTTAAAATAACGTTTAAACGATAATTAAATAGTAAAGAAACCATTATGATTATGATGAAAAAAATAGATAGTTTGCAATTTAAAATATTGAAAATTTGAAAAATATACTCTTTAAACTCCGGAAAAGTTTAAAGAATCTTCCTGAAATTTCTCATTAGCTTGACTGAGGAAATGAGAAGTAATTTTTTTTATAATTGTTTAATTGAATCTTACTCAACAACAACATAATAAGACGATTGAACTTAACTTTTCAGATAAAATGACTTAATATCAAGAACCACATTTCAAGATTTTGTTTAACACTTACATTCATGTAGTGAACAGAGCAAAATAGAAATTGTATTATTAAGATTTTAGTTTTGCCTAAAAGTATGCTCAATGGTATGAATTCTAATTCTTAACTTATTGGCTTATTCGTATTTCAGGTTAAGCAAGCTGACAACACTTTTTTAATTAAACGATTAATATTTCAGAGATTTTGCTTAACTATTTTTCCTTTTATAATATGCAAATTTTAGATTTTTTAATTAAAAATTTTAAGAAATGTTACTAATGGTAGTAATTAATAGAAGAAATTTATACTTGGTTTATTATAATGGTAACCATCGTCACGTAAGTCCGACAGTAGTTCTTCATCAGACTCTGCGGTGGTGTTGGTGAGAGCTTCGCTAAGTGGTTTCTTATTTAGTTTGTCTTTAGCACGTACTTGAATTTCATCGTAATTACTTGACTCAGCGCTTATGTCATTTAGGAGCGAAAATTCATTACCTATGTTGAAATTTGATCCTGGCGAATCCACATTTACTTGAGTGTGGAACACAGAATTCAGTTCATTTGAATATATATTAAATCTGTTGTTTGAGTGATTCTTAATATGATAGCTATAATCGGCATTATTGTAAGGTATAAAAAATTCAATACGAATATCCTCATCTTCCAGAGCGTGGGCCTTATTAAATTTGTTATAGAAATGCGAAGGATCCGGAATGTCTTTTGGGTCGGGATGCCCTTTTTTAGATTGGCTATATAAACTCTGTTTGAGATCATTTAGGTTTTCAATATCCTCAGGACTTCGTAAATGTTTAATACTGGGATGGTAAGGGCGGCTTCCAAAGTCGTCTACATTGATATATTCTTGAATATTTTTTTCAACTAAATCGTAATCTTCTTTATTTTTATTTTGGTTATTGTTTTTATAATATTCATTTGTTATATAATTCTCGTCCAGATAGAACGGAACGTCAACAATATTTTCCTTGGAGTATTTCAAATTTTTTACTTCAGACGAAACTATGTGCATATAATTATCAGTTGTTTCTTTTGCAGGATATTCGTCGGAATTGGTGAATTTATAAAAAAGCATAAAACTTAATAGAATAATATTTGCCTGTGCGAAAAAATATTTTTATTAAATGTTTGTGACTTAAAAAGTTTATATGTATATATAATTACCATGCTTGCCAAAACTCTTTACGTAAAAGTGCTCAGTGTCGAGTAATCGTCAATTCAGCTTTCACCATTTATATAAAGCGGCCCACGAAGGGGCTGAGTCAGATTTTTTTTTTCATATGCACGATTCTCTCATTCAGTTATTTTTAATTTTTATTATGCATCAAGAAACAATTTCACTAATTTCTTGTTCCTCAATAAATCTATGCAAACAATTGGAAACTAATTTCGTTGCATTCAATATATCAATGTTAGCTCAGTCTCATTCCAATAAATTGCACTTATCAACCCCACAGTACCGAACACGCACGGCATAATAACTATGTTAAGCTAACGTCATGTTTATTAACGATTTAAGTAGGGAGTTCCTTCGAAAGATTATACAGAGGTCACATTTGATCCTTTACAATTGGTATTGTTAAGGCTAATCCCTGGGAAATCGTCTTGACATTATTTATTACTTTTTTCTTTGCGCGATTTCAAATTCCTTGTTGGCCCTTCGACCTCTATTTTCTAGATGCGGTTATGTTTTTGCAACATTTCACCAGATTGATTATTGTTTTATTATTATTAATCATCAAAAAATTTGTGGCGAGCTTATTATTTACTAAAACTATAATATAGCAGTTTAGTGATTTCATTGTTAAAAAATAAGAAGCCGTGATCATTAATCAACCCTCTAAAAATTAGAATTCACACTTCACCTTTTCAAAAATCGTGGAAAACATGTACTTCATTCAAATTTCAAGGAGACGATATTCACAATACTTCGTAGATATGTCATATACGTGTGTGTACAATCCACACACACGTATATGACATATCACACTCGCATAAACCAACTCTGAAGATCACCATCACCAAAACTGGTAGATCAACTGACATAGGCTTATTAAATACTGCTTGTACATACATATATGAATTGTTTGTAATACAGATGCTGATGTCCAGTTAGATTTAATATGTTAAATGAGAACCGCGATGAGCACACAACAAAAATATTGGACTTAAGTCGTAAACTAATGCTTTTGTCTGTACAACCGAAGCAGAGGTCTATTATTGTATTTCCAGTTCTGGAACTTAGGTCTTCATTAATTTTTTAACGAATTTTAAAAGTTGGTGTTTAAGTGTAGTAAATTTAATCTAAAATCCCTCTTATTCAAGAGTAATCCATAAATAACCTGTTATGCTACTATATGGCAGAAACGCGTTATAGCAGATTCCGGATTATGAAATTTCATCTTTTGGGATACTTCATCGTAAACACTTTGCTATTCTTGTGTGCAATTTTCTCAATTTGAATGAAATAACAAGATAATAAATTTTTTAAGAGGTAGGAAAGGGAGTCAAAATGTATATATGATTATGGTTTATGTAAATAAAGAAGCTACACATCCATTTATTTACAAACAATAGATACACTTTGGGTAAAGTTGCTTGGTTGAAATCGTAAGTAAATGGTTAGAGTGAGAGGCTTGCTAAGTTAACGACTATTTTTAAACATCTTGTTCAATTTCTACAGAGAATTTTCGTTTCGTGTGAATATTACTACCCGTTTATACTTGTCTTGCCATCATTCAGATATGCTCCATATATGTACATACATGTATGTAAATATATACCTACATTTGTATATTTTCTTGTTTTTATGAATATGAACTGAATTAGTATATGAAAGCAAGAATATAAGAAATAACGTCACGTACCACAACTGAGATTTAATGACAGAGGATGGTTTTCAAGTTTAATTAAAATCAGAACAGCGAGTTATAAAAGAAATAGTAAATGGGTAAAATAAAGATGTGCTTTGTTATTGATTTGATGGTTCTAAATTCGTTAAGAATTTTATTTTGGGAGTTGTTTTTCATAGCCGGTTATGTTAGTCTTTTAAACACCTCTCTCATTTCTTGTCGTCATTAGCATTTTGACTAGCTAAACATAGTGTGTTTTACGGAGGCGAGGTCAAGAGAATTCCGCAGCCATTTAAATCCTTCGTAATGTTATGAGTTCGTTCTGATATAAATAATTTGTACATCTAAACTGTTACCACAGTCAATCGTCTACATTCATTGTGTGGATTCGAGTTAGACAAGAACAATGGAAAGTTTAGTTTCTTTTTTTGTTAAAATATTTACTATTTATAATATTTTATATTTTTTGAACCTTTAACTTCTCGTACTTATTTAAACTTTTTAATTAATTTTACAGAGATTAATTTTAACGCTAACTTTGCTAGCTGCAGTTACGGCTGATGTATCCCACTTATTTTCGCATAGTGATAACCTCCAGGATGATGGATATCATTACAATAAGCCAAGCGGAGGTGCCGTAGTAGATATTCCAGCGTCTCTTAGACATTCCGCTTCAGCTCCGTCTGAGTCATACTCAGGGGTCTCGTCCTACCATGGTGCTGCCTCATCTTATAGTTCTGCGCCAGCTCCAGTTGCAGCCCATCCCTCAGGGGGATTTGGCGGCTCGTCTTATGAAGCTGCTTCAGCTCCAGCTGCTTCATACTCGGGTTCTGCAGGATCTTACTCCCAAGGTTCTTCTTACGGAGTGGGTTCTCACCACGTCGCCTCTGCTGGTACAGCTCCCGCTGTTTCTTATTCATCTTATTCTACTGGATCAGCTTCCCATGTAGCCTCAGCTTCAGCTCCATCCGCTTCTTATTCCGGTTCATCTTATCAATCTGCATCAGTTTCTGCACCATCTTATTCACATGGTTCTTCTCATGGAGCAGCTTCTTCTCATCATGCTTCCTCGGTTCCCTCCGCTTCTTACACAAGTAGCTACCAATCCGCGCCAGCCCCAGTCACTTCCTATTCACATGGATCATCTAATCAAGCGGCTTCTGCTCCCGTAGGATCCTTTACCACAAGTTCATCTAACATCGGTGGGGCTATATCACATCATGCAGCTCCATCAGCATCCACTGTTTCTTCTACACGTTTAGGAGCTGGTACCAAAGACGGCAGTGGATATCACTACGACGCTCCAAAGACTCCTTTTGAAAGTCGACCAGAACCAGTAAAGGAATATTTGCCACCACCGCCACCTAAACGTCCCACAACACCACCCCCACCACCACCACCACCAACTCCTAAGCGTACACCACCACCGCCACCACCACCATCTCCACCAAAAGAATATCTACCTCCACCACCAACCAATAAACCTTCTCCACCAGTACGGACTCCGCCACCACCACCACCGGCGCCAAAACGCCCACCTCCTCCACCATCACCTCCAAAGGAGTATCTTCCTCCGCCACCAACTAACAAACCTGCTCCACCTGCTCGCCCTCCACCACCACCGTCCCCACCAAAGGAGTATCTTCCACCATCTTCATCACCAAAAGGTTATTCCTATCCTAATGACCCGCAACCACCCTTCACCTCTTAAGCAAAATCGATACGAATAGCTAGCGAGACTTTATCTAGTATTAGTATAATAATTAGCACGTCAATGTTTTTTAGGCAAGTGCCTAAAAAATCTTTCAATTGAAATCAATAAATTTTCAAACTGTACACGCTAGTCGTTATTTCATTTTGCACTTAACGTACGTTTTTAAAAAATGTTACCAATGATCAACGATTAAATATGTTTATTTAAACATTTGTTTCAATTGAAGCAAATATTTACAGCTTAACTACAGAGTACACTGACTTTTATTCAATTTTTAAGCACTACGGTTCTTAGCGAGAGGAGCTCAATTAATCAATTTGTCCTTTATGGGTGATGTATGTTTCATATAGAGATGCATCTTTACTACGTCGATTAAGGCGAGAGCAGGTTACCATTAGTGCGCCAGACAGCAAACACATAACCACCGAAAGTGTAGCTGTTATAGTTGAAAATGTTGTTGTTTTTATGCATGTTTGATGGGTAAGTGGATTTAAACGATGTGTATGGGAGTAAACATCATCTCCACCTAATTCACCTTCCTGTAACACACGCAAAGATTGAAACAGATTCAAATTCTCCGATAACGAAATGGCTTGCTTTTCTTTTCTTGAAGTCATTGTTTCCACGTTTAAAATATTCTCAATGTTATGCTGCGAATCTGAAGGCGCAGCGGTGGATTGCGTCTTTGTAATCGCGGTTGGACTTAACGATACTGATGTCGAGTTCGAAGTATCACGCTTAGTTACAGCTTTCAAATTACGCCAATGACATGGTTGGCTCTGAAATTTACATAATATAATACATACGATTTTTCACAGAAATTTTATTAAATAAAGATATTATAAATAGCTTACTGGGCATCGGCCATGGCACATTCGTACATCACACTCAATGTATAATGCTGGCGAACCAGTGAAGCGAAATGTTTTCATATACGCGTACACTTGTGTTTCAAATATTCCAGAATCAGACCAAGAGCCACGGAATCTAGAAATTAACTTATCATCTACAGGGCAACCGTATTCATCAATAAGCTGAATTTTTTTATTGGCGCCGTTATGAGCAAAGCAATCATTTACCACAATATCAAATCCATCTATTAGAATGATAAATATGTGCCACATATATGTATGTAGGTCAAAAATATTAAAAATTGAGTCACATTGTGTTAAATTGAAAATAAAAGGTCTTTTTGTTAACAAGCTATTAATATTTATCACAAACCGTATTTACTGCGCATGTAAATTATTAATGTAAGGGGGTCTCCGACTCTAACAGGGCCAGTAACTCGTGGGCCACCAATACCATATCCATTTTGTATTTCCATATAACACTCAGGTGGACTTAGAGTGAAGACGACTGGGTTGCCAGTAGCTACCCTATTTAACAATAACACTTATTATTATTTGTATATAAATCAAATCAGGAGTTTAAAGCTTACTCTACATCCAAAAATGGAAAAGTGACAGTTTTCCAAAAATCGTACCCATACTCGCAAGTAACTTTAAAATGTTCATCATATTCTTCCTCTATGAGAGGATTGTATTGAACTGTTACTGTATTCCACATAAAGTTCTGTTAAAAAAAAAAAATAAACTATTTTCAAACAACAACAAATCAATCTACTTACTGTTGGATTTTTTCTCTTTTCATCGTGAAGTGCATTTTTCCCCAAAGTTCCACAGCGATTCAACTGAATAAAAAATTCATAGTAATCTCGACCTGAGCCATTTATATACATGCAATCAGGGTCATACGCATAGCCAGCTGAATATACCAAACCACTGAAGGTAGCATTGAAACCAATTCGTATTTTCATGTAGTCATCCTGACATTCCGCTTCAATATCTGATCAAAAGATCTAATAATAAAAATTCCTACTGTTAATGCAGAACTTACGTTGCACCCGAGTTGTGTTATAAAATAGATTTTTGTTGTAATCTCGTTCCCAATAGTCATTTGGCCATTTATCTGCCTCATAGGACAATGTTTGATAACTGCCGCCAGCATCGTTTGAAAGTGCACTCACTCCCGTAGAGTCATATTCAGGCGGTACCAAATGCGGACGATCTATCCGATAAGGGATATGGCCGGATGAATCTGGAATGTGGTCCTAAAGTAGCAAAGAAAAAATTGAAGTATAAAAATATCATGTATAGAATTAATACTTTTTCTGTCTTACTGTTTCCTGACGGATTTTGTTACGTGCTGCTGTTTCTCCAGTGCGATTTGAGCTAACCTTGTTGAATTTCTGTACTTACAGTAATGAAAAAACCCATGTTAGAAAGTAAAATATTTGAACACTACTAATAATATACTTTTTGTTTGATTTCGGCAGCGGATCCAGCACGCTTCGAAAGCTTGACTGGTGTAGGTGTTGTTGAGTTTGGCTTACTTATATACGATTTAGATGACAACGCTATTAGCAATTGTTTTCCTCTTTCGCTGTTTTTTCCCGCGCTTCTGTTACCAGGACTATTCCCTCTTATTGTAGCTTGCGGAATTGTTACGTTCTTTGATATCTTATTGCCTCTATTAATGGTGGGGGTTGTTATGCTACCAATTGTGTTTTCGGTAGAAAAATCAATTGAAGCTGCTGTTAGGAACGATAGCTTAAAGTATAGAGAGGCATCAGTATAAGGATGTTTATTAAAAAGAGATGTAGTATGAATAAAGTTTGTATACATATGTACATACTAATATGTATGTGCATTGTAATAGAGAAATGTGTGCAAAAAAATCAAGCAGTGTAAATCGTAGTTCAAAAGTAGGACGGGAAAAGCAAGCAGCAGCAGAATAATAAAAATGCATAGCGAACATATATATTTAAATCATACTAATCTCCCGTAAAGAAAATAATATTTATATTTCGAACAAACCCATTTAGGCATATAATCCAAAAATTTAGCCAAAATGAATAATGAATATGTATATTTTTTCATATAGATCGATCCACTTCCCCTAAAAAAAGAATTTCAAGTAAAAAGAACCATGAATAAAATTTTTTCGTCCACATCCCGGTAAGAAGAGTAGTCTTCCTGTGCAAAAAGCCACCCATCTAGCGAATTTCGAGTAAATCGGAGCATAAATACGTTTTCTTCGAAGAGGTCGGTCCCCAGTGCACTTCCTGGAACTAAAGCCAACCATTCTACTAATCAAGGCAAGAGGCAACGTATGTTCCAGATTTCGCGAAAAAATTATGAAAAACTAGATCTTTTTCATATACAAATGTATGTACATATGTTATTTACAATAATCATCATTACGTATTTGTACATATTAAAATATCAATAAAATTCGCATATGTATTTCATGAATTATTTGTTAAATTAACATTGAAATAAATTTCCAAGACCAACTTCAATCGTAGTTGGAGTCCCATTTTAACCTCAACATAGTCGCCCTTCGAAAGACGTATCCAATAAAGCCTACACCGAAAAAGCCAAATTTCTCAAAATCTAGTAGGTGTGAATATTAGAACGAAATACATAATTCTAAAAGCGCATATATACACATGCATGCACATATATATGTATGTATTTGCAAATGAATATAAACAAAAAATAAAATAATTCATATATTGAATAATAATAAACACAACGCTTTCAAAGATTTTCTGGCACAAAAGCGAAGCGTTTAAATTGAAGAAATATACCAAAATAAAAATTATCTCGCGTTTTACTTACTACAAAATTCAATAATTCGTGCAGAAAAAGATCGACAGATTTAAGGCATTATGCGCTGAAGAAAAAATTACAGTATACTCAAAGATTTTGCGTTTTATCGTGTTTGAGATACATCTGACCATTCATGTATTTCGTCAATTGGTAATTGTTGGTAACCATTGCATTTACCACATGCTAAACTCTTTCGCCGGTGTCGAACCTTTTTGAACTGGCCAATTATAACTCAACCAGAGATTCTATTATAGTAGCTACGGCTAAAAGGCACAGAATTGGACGAACAAAGACAACGTGATACGAAAATCTCACAAATTGCAAGTAAATGTACAAAGTCAAAAAACACCCCGTAAATCCCAGAAGGAAACTTTTCGTCGTTGGTTTTCGGATAATGTTATAAAAAAGTGGATTTTTAGAACGTTCTTACGAGATAAAGAGTTTCATATGTACACGTATATTCCCCTCTTGCAGTCACATTCATATTAAGAATATCTTAAATTAAGAGATCACGCTGTAGAGGCAAATTTGCTTTAGAAAATTGTGTTTAAATACTACCGCTCATCGGTTTAGATCAATGAGAGCTCCTCATATACGATGAATGTGTCCAAACGTTTGAGGATTGCTCCATAGCGCAACCAAAATTAGCATTTGTTTTAAAAGAAATTTACCACGTTCAAGTAATGTTAAAGTGCCTTCAGATATCTCGATATAAGTGTGTGTGATTATATACATACATACATATATTATTGATGAAGTTATGTATGTACATACAACATCTAAATTTGTATCAGCAACATTCACAAAGCCTTTGATTGATATATGTACAAACAAACACGTGTAAATATGTAGCCATGTATGCATGTTTGTAAAAGCAAATAAGCGCAGATGTATTCCAAGATTTAATTCAACAAAAACTATTCTGAACAATGATGGAAGTGCAATCGATATTGCTTGCGCAATCGTACATCCGTTAACTGTGGATTGGCCAACATTAGAAACAGTTCACTTGTAATTGTTAGATGAACCATCGTAGCCACGTGTTGATACACATATAATTACACACGTATGGATGTAACACTGTTTTACCTACGGATTTTATATACCCGGAAGGTTAAATAAGGAAGTATTTCTTTCTTCTATACTTTACGAGAGCTATTTAAATTAGATTTGGTTATGACGGTAAGCTTAAACAAACTGTTGTATACATATGCATGTGTATCTCGTAACAATTATACAATATAATGGAGCAAATACTCAACAGATAACTAAATAAATGGGAATAGGGCATATGTATGTACAATGTATGTATGTGTACATAAAAATATGAATATAACTGCCGCAGCGATTAACAGTGGGCACACAAAATTTTAAGAGAAATGTGCAATTCAAAAATATTTTCTGCTTTGAGAGTGTGTATATATACATATTGTTTTTTACCAAGATTCCATTGTAACGATAAATTTCACGTCAATCCAAAAAAAAATATATCGATTCGGTTTAAACATATGGAAATGTAACGATAATATTTAGCAAAATAAGCCTTATTTTGTTTCTACCCGCAACGAAATGCTGTCGTTAATATTAAATCGTTAAAAGATAATGTTAAACGTCAAAATTGAATATCATAGCAAGCAGCAATTTTAACATTACCCTTAACGATGACATTGTGCGGTTTCAACATTAACAATTTCAGGCACGGTTTCGTTAGCTGATTATCTCTATTTCTTAACCATACCAAAATTAATTAATTAATCTAAAAGTAGATATGAACAGGATGCTTTTATATCGAAATGGCTTATGAGGTTTATTTCAGTTAAAAATAAATTAGATAAAATTAGGTTTAACTTACCTGCATTACGAATACTAGAATCATGAGCACAAGATTCTCTACGAATTTCACCTTTCGACTTTTTTCCAAGTAAGACATTTTATACTAAAAATATTTTTTGGCGGAAGGACACTAAAATTAAATAAATCTAAAATGGTTTAAGATTAATAAAAATATCTATGAATTTAAATATTAAAAAATATGTGAATCACGTCAATTGTTTAATATTATATTTCTATATTGTTTAATAATATATTTCGGAACCAAACAACTTAAGTGCCCGCATGCTGATAATAGCAGTTTCTTTACTAAATAGAAAAGAGTTCAGACAAATCATTCTGAGGTAGAAACTTTTACAGAAGACGATTACGCCGAAACGGGGGCGTAGTTAAAATAGTCGCATTTGCTTGTGACAAATAATTCTTTGTAATTTTTTGCTAGGAAAACTTGATTACTGTATTTTGGACATTAAAATTTATAAAAATTTGATTTTTATTAAATTGATTTAAAAGTACATTGCGAAATGCGATTATTAATTATTTAGATGATAATTCTGATGAGGATTGTCATAACTAAAGCTAACTTTTTTAACCAAAAACGAGCACATAGGCTTAAGTAAAAAAGTGTTTGTACATATATAAAACGAAAACTACATTACTTTGAACAACCAAAAGAACCAATTCATTGCTATACATGTAATTTACATATTTGACTCATTTATAACTACTACTCCTACTACTTATAGCCCCTTGTAAATACTAATATTTCCGTTATAAATATTTAACCCTTAACCTGATATTCATTTTCAAAAAGAAAAGGGCAGTTTAAATGTTACATAATTAAGATGTTATTGTTATAATATGTTTTATTTTTTAGCTATTAGAATTAAGTTCAATCACTGTTAAATAATCTATGGTTGTGTGTTTGAATAAAAAATAAAATAAATAAATACATAAGCCAATAATGATACAAATGTTTTCTATTTTCGTTAGGTGAAATACTAAAATAAGTAGCTTTGTCTGGTAGATCGCCTCTTAGTAAAGTGATCGCTTAAATAATAATATATAGAAATAAAATTGCTTGCCGATATCAGTCCTTTCTCAAAAACGCTTAGCTTTAAGCAAAATCATTACGACCTGTAGGCCTCAAAATTGCTCTTACTTCTTGCAGATTTTCATTAATAATATATATAATATAATACAACTAACATGCTTTTTCTGCTGCTTTTTTTCAGCCCAGCTTCAATTTTTGGCCAAATGATATATAATATAAAATTAATAACATTTAATATTAAAAATAATCCTGAAATATCCAAACTAAGCCTGCCATATTATTTGTAACGCATCTGATACATATCTACAAACATTACACATAAGATCTTCTGATCAATTATTGAATGTTATACACCATAATATTTAATTAAATCAAACGGAAACACGTAAGGGCAAACAACGGAAATATTAATACTCTAAGGTGGGATAAAGGTCATAAAGATATTCTTAGTGCTGATGTTAATTACTACATATGCAAACATAAGTGTATTTTTTTATTAGTAACAAAAGTTTGATGATTGGAAGATATTTACTTGTTGGTATATCATCAAACTTTATGTAAACTTCAAATATGTATTTCAATAGAGACAACATATAGGTATGGGCGGAAAACCCGTAGTGATATTTAAATTCACATGTATAGCCCACAAGCAGCCAGTAATATTGAACTCAAAAAGCGCAAGCGGTAACGAAATCAACATATTTCGGATATAAGACCAATAACAAAAAATCAAATGTCGAATCCTGAAAGCTGTTTACCAATTTACTTTTTGAATTTTTAAAGGACTTCACAAACGGTTCTTTAATAAAAGACAAACCCGGATCTTATGTGTAGAATATATCAGCATATTTCCATACATATATATATATGTATGTGCATGGGTTATGTTAATAGTTAAGAAACTCGTTGATATGAGCTTGCTTTCAAGTTTTGTGACCTTGAGTTTAAAACTCTTCTTCATGGTCTGCCAAGCAGTAGGCATTAATGCGTTGCAACAGCGAAATAAAAACAGTTAAATAACTGTAGCTTGTTTTTGATGAGTTTGCAAGATTTTTTTATTAAAAAGGATGAAGAAACCATGCACCACATACAAATAATTTTGAACTACGATTCAGATATTAGCGTAGGTATGACTTCGAAAGGTTTATAAACTGAGTTGCAAACTATAAATAATCAGGAATATGATTGCGTATACATACACATGTTTTCATCACTTTTTCAACCAAATTTATATTCATTTAAAAATTAATGAAAATCGTGTTGCATTGTTTATAAAAGATAGTAAGAAATACATAAGAGAAAGCCTTGAATATTATATTTTTAACATAGAATACGAGGTAAACAAGCTTGAAAAATCCCTGTACCCATTGACGAGTCCACGGGACAAATAAACTAAAATAATTTTAGTTCTATTTATTTGTTTAAATTTTATATTACAGGTTTTAGAAACAATAATGCTAAATTAAGGTCGTGTATAAGTTTTTCTATAATACCGATTTTTTTTATTTTGGTTTAAGGAGTAGTTTCTCATTAACACTGGATTCTCACCTAACACCAGCCCTGAAATCCAAATAGAGGATCTATAATTATAAAGTTATTTCGTTTTACAATAAAGAAAAATGGTAGAAATAACAGCTGTTGTATTGGTATTATGATATTAATACGAAAAAGATGTGTAATTTTCGTGAATTTCAATGAAATCTTTTGTTTTCGTATCAACAAATTATTGGGATACGGCATTTCGTATTAATGTTTTTTTACTGTTGCAATTGTAGTCATTAGAATACAATTTGCTCATATCCAATTCGTATATAATTTTTGTAAGCACCCGAAGCGAATGTAGTTTTCACTTTTTAATAACTCAGAATATTTAAACAGTGCTTTGCTCAAGATTTTCTTTTTCCATTAGTTATACTACTTTTTAAACAGTTTTGTTTAACGGTGTTTTGCAGTTGATAAAATGTTCGGCTTTCTTTGGCTGAACAGTTTAGTTTCATAGCGCACATATTTTTTTATTGATATTGTTTTTACTATTTTATTAATATCACTTTTCATGAAATTTTAATACTGCTATTGTGGTAAGTTTTTAGCTGAAAATCACTCGGGTGCAAATTTCAACGAACAACAGCTACACGAAAAAGTGCGGTTACTATGGTCTATCACACTCGTTATACTTTTTTGTAAACTGTAAACTTTTCATTATGTAATCCAAGTTAACTTTATACATACATATGTACTACTTGCTCGTTTTAAAGAACTACCTTTTTGCTTACTGGCTTGCTACAATGGTTAGTGAAGACCGACCGAATATGGTTTGATTCCGTTTGCGTACTACACAGGTGTGAAACGAAGCGCAAAACACGCAGATTTTTATAAGATCATACACCGTAAATGCAAAAATAATGGAAGCACTGGAAATGTGAGATTGGAAAACATAACACAATTTTATCCCAAATGCACTTAAGATGTTATCAAAAGCGAAAGAAGGGAATGAAGATGTAACGAACAGCTAGCAAGAATAAACTCATGTTGGTATGATCACAATGGCGAAGATGGTATAAATATATTTATTGTAGCCATGTATACATACAAATGTTACGCGAAAATATATGAATGAATGCGCCTTGATTCAATTTTTCGTCTACAAGGATTAAACGTATAAATATCTTTTTCAAGCATTTGCGCACATTGAATTTCAACAAAAACTTATGGCAACCTTGGGGTCGCCAATTTCAACATTTATGAGTGCAGTTTGATGTTCCCTATATAACTAAAATATTTACTAGTTTTCTCTCTAGTTTATATATGTATATACTTCTTTTGGATGGAATCGATAGTATCAGTAAATAATAATAAGTTGAAATCTGATTAGAAGCAATTATTTTTTGAGCGCTTTAAAGAATTTTCGGTGAGATCAGAGAGATACTATAGGTCCTGTTAATAGGAACCTAAACCGGCTTGCTTAGCCAAAGTAACTTTGACAACCCTCTCATCTATGCACCTCCACATTTATATAAAATATAGTGATATTACTACAGACGATTTCGATATATTCCAATTTGAATTGGTCTTCGGCTCAACAAGAGGAATACGAATTAAATCCGGGAAGTGGATCAGGAACCAACCTATTCGAAAAAATAATGTTCTTGATTACATTTTCTTAAAATTGGGTGCGGAAGTAGCTTTACGCTTAGTTTAACATGAACACTAGCTGCTTTACTTGATACTATAAATAAAAAATTTTCTTATTTATTCCTCAAAGGAATATTTTAATGGAAGCAGGTCAGATGGTTAGCCCTGCGTACTGCCACTCGGAAGGTCAGGGTTAGAGTCCTGGTCCGACCAACATCTTAAAGTTATAGAAATTCAATTTAAATAAAAAAAATTAAGTAAAATTTTCCCTTCTGCAGGAAAAGTCAATCCATCCGATTGAAATAACAGCTCCTCATTAAAAACTATCAGCCGTTTGGAAACAGCTCAATATAAACTGTAGGTCTGTGTTGGAAAAATATCAAAACTCAAACCACAAATTACAAAGCGCCACTAATATATATATATGCCCGATTTTTGTTGCCAGATTTAGAATTTTGTCTTTCTTTCATAATTAAATTTATAACAAGACAGCTTCATGTATGCACATATGAATTAAAATGTACATTTAAAGTTATACATAAAACTCCTTGTTTGAGCAACATAACGGGTCACATATGACAGGTTACACCGTATTTGATTATACCAATTACCGTTCATCGTTCGTTCAAGTGTCCGTTCATCGGAAAGTATAACATCAGGATTCGTCGAAAAACTCCTTATACAACTTTTAGTCGAAGTGCGGAATGGATATATTAATGGATATATATATCGGTACCTTATTTAAACCTCGTTAAGTTTTAAGAGCTTCTTGTATGTATCAATGCTGTACCTATTAAGAAGAAGGTGGAGGTGCATTTGGGAAGATAGTCTTTCTGTTGAAAAATAATTATTTTTAGTTTTCTTCACCAAAGAATTGACACTAAGGAGTTCGTAACTATTGTCCGAATGTGTCAAATCTCGCTTGAAAGCTGTAAAGTCGAAGTGATGCTTCAACAAATCCTTATTCCCTCTAAACGAAAGTAAAGCCGGAAAATTTTAAGGGTATAATGCTATATAAATCCTCTTTCTTCACATCTTTGAATATTATTAATTGGACGCATTTTATTTTTTTGAACCTTACAATATATATATTTGTCTACAATATAATTTACTTACTTTTAACGTTATTCAAATTTAAGTAAAGTAAAATTTATCGATGCATTGCATTCTTGGTGTAAATACTTATTTACTTACGGAACTTTGGATCTGTTCTATAACGCCTTTACTGTTAGTAAAAAACATACATCATAAGATGTTTCTGTAAACTCGTACAATTTACTTTTTATTATAACTTACATTTTTTTATTTTCAAATTTTCGTATAAGTTTTACAATAACTGAAGAGTAATTCTTATTATGGGAGAAAGTTCATGATTAGTGTAAATATTCGCAGTTATTGCTCTTGTCACAAGTTCCGTTCATTCCATTATTCAATAACATTTACGATTGTTATTTGCACCACTATTTAGCCGACAGTGCTGTACATCACTGCGCCGCTGACGATTGCTTCGACTTTGAATTTCACGTACTTGATTTGAACGTAAAATAGCGCTACGACGAAGGTTGTGACGCTCGTGAACCGCCAAACCCTGCAATTAAAATAATAAAAACGCTTTAATGCGCTTGTTTTAAAAAATATATTAAATCCCCACAAATTTATTAAAGTTGTTTAAATTACTATTGTCTGAAGCAAAATGTTAAAAATGTTAAGCCTATTAACATTTATATTGCAGTATCAGGCTTTAGTGGCATTAACATTTTCATTGACGATGCCTAATCTACTTTCTCCAAAACTGTACGGATCGAAATTCACGTACGAATTGAGAACAAAAGAAATGGATATAAATATTTAGCCTGAACTAATGGGGTGCTTATATTCGTTTATATTCCTACCCCTCGTCTAAGCGGCAGCAAAAATTTCGCATAGTGAACTCGAAAGGTTGAATAAATGCTCTTACCCCAAAGAAACTTGACGTTTTTCTTTTGTTAACGTAGGATTAAAAGTCTAAAGTAATAAGCCTAAATACTTATAACGAATACTAATACACACCTTCTGACTATTTAAAGCAAATATTTGCATCTTTAGTAGAGCAGCCTCACGACGATCTATGCGTGGACCTGTAGACCGGTCTTCACTTACTCTTTGAGAGTTCTGATTGTAAATATGGAAATATTAAAGATTACTTTTAATACAAAAAAATATATGTAAATTAAGTTTATATTTATAATTTTATCCACCAAGTTTCAATTTACTCACTTTATTTTCTTTCCCAAATTTCTTTTGCGTGATATTTACGTGATTTGCATCGATAAGATTTTTTCCATCCACTTCGCAATTCATATTTGCAAAACTTTCGATGCCTTTTTGAGCTGACCCAATAGTACGATAAATTGACATGCTGTATAAATACCAAAAGTTATATAAAGTAAAAAATTTTATTTATTAATAAGTAATGAAATATGGTCCCTTGAGTATTTATCACCGCTCTCTGACTAAAATATGACATTTCTGTAATTTTGTTTCATTTTGTTTATTTCTGAATAAATTGAATTACAACTAAAAACATCACGTACATCACCTTGTGATATTATTTGTGTATTTCACTTGACCTTGAAAATTACTTTGAAATAAAAAAATTACTGAAAGTGGAATGTAATGGCAGTGATTTTTTCGGCCAAGCTCCAAATTTGTGGTTATGCGTATTGACGTTTTTCCAACATATGTTTATTATCTACTATTAAGCAGGAGCCGAGTGGTTAGCAAATCGTCATACGAGTACAGTCGCCAGAGCAACATTCTAATTTATTGAAACATATTTCTAATATATAATCACGGCGCGCGCAGTGGTTTTTCCATTTTATTGGAAACACTTCAAGATGCACCCGAGTGTATTTACTACATGAAATAAAAACGCCTACCACAAATTGAAGGACAAGCTCGGCCGAAAATCGCTTCAACGGTTACAAAGTACCAATTATGTATACTATATACATATTATATATAGTCCTCCGCTTTCGATGATAATCGGTACCAATATTTATTTGTATATTTTTGTATAGAATACCAAAACTCAAGTTTTTAGATTCTTTTTTTTATGAGTTTTTGACCCAAAACCCCATACAATTTGCTAAACATATTTATGTTATAGTAGTAATTCATTCTTATTTGCATTGAATATCAAATTTTACGTTCCTTGATGCTTTACTGATGCTACATGTTATGGTGGTCCAATCTGGCAAGGTTTGACAAATGATCATTTGCGTACCAAGTTTGGTTGAAATAACTCAAAGAAAACGGAGGGACTATTTGCGTTCCAACGTACTGTCAGACTTAACTCGTCGTTTTGACTTCATCGGTATAAATTTTGTTGGGTCTCTTTCTTTTCGTTCTGGTACTTATATATTGACATTTCTCCTACGGAATTCTCATTGCGTATTTGAATATAATCTGATTATTTTAGACTTTTACAGCCAATCCTTAGGTTAATAACCTCCAGTTCAGATGGGGTCACTTACCTTGGGTGTTCAATGAGTAAATTTTCAAGCCGTGGTATTTCCAGGTGAATGGGTCCGTTCAAATCAAAGCAGGATGGAGGTGTCATATACCATGAATCAACCATTGTAAACAGTTTAGCACTAGAGCCATTATCATCGAAACTGCCAACACTCACATTGCGTCCCAAATCTCTACGCAACAATTGCTGAACTCCACTTTCAGACAATACCATTGATCTGGTGGCGTCATTGCACCTGTCTTTGTTCAACGAATTGCTTCTTAAATTCAATGATGACGAATGTAACGGAGAAGACTCTTTTTTCTTCTCGACATCACATTCCCGAAAGCTCGGACTTACGTGACGAAGGCTACTTTTATGATTACTCTTTTGATTACTTTTATTTTTTTTCTGACGGCGAACTACACAAATATCATTACCAGGGAAAGTTTCTTGGTTAGGTTGTAGCTCAGATAAAATTTCCAAAGTTGGTGTTGAAGTTGTATTGTTATTATCGTTCAAATTTCTATCTCCTAAGAAGGAAGAAAATGAAAATGATAAAATTGTGCTAAGTTGGAAACTTTGAAATTTTTTTGGGAGTTTTTGATGCACTAGTCGAGTTAGTCAAAATATCAATTAATATCTCATTTTTTAGATTCCCCAAAAGAATATACAATATAACATATAAATATATAGAATCTGAGAATAAACGTAACGAAAAATTTCCCGTTAATGAAAAAACTTCAATCGATTCATTTGAAACATTCGAAAAGCAGTTATCAGCAGTTTTACATATACCCCTATTAGCCGAATTGAAAATATTCCAGTTGAGTTGATTACACGTATGTTTACAATATGCGAAAATAGAAATACAAACTATTGTATTTTATTTTTAGCGGTTTACTTAACACACTTTCTCTTATAAAAAAAACAGAATCTCTAAAAATCAGTGAGTACTATAATAAGGATTCTGTTTACTTGATTTGCGAACATGCCGATTTTTATCGCCTATCATTTGCTTAGTCTACGTATTAAAAGAAATAATTAGAAGCAGAAATTAATCGATGTAACTATCATGAACGAAAGTCTATATAAAGAATAAATAAAAATTAAATAAAAAGGAACGGAAAAACTTATTTATGGTAAAATCTGTACTTATAAAAAGGAGCAAATTAAGGTAAGTAAATTTTTTATTTCGTTCTTGATATCCTTTTTTCACGATGAAATTTTCGCTTGAAATAGATAGGAGAGCACGCATCTTTTCTGAATCTTATAGATCCAACCAGCAATAACATGGTTTTATTTTGGTTTGTCACAAAGTGTGGCAAAAACATGTGCAATCATACGATAGTAGCTTCGTTGCATGATTTGGGCGAATTCAGGTCAAACGATAACAAAAGCCGGCACGTATATTTTAATTATTTTGAGTTCTCGGGTCTAATCATGTAATCCGTAAACAATAACATACATTTTCTAGACCATGTGATCATATTATTTAATACGTTTCCTTCGAATCAAAGTTTTTCAACTACGGTAATTTGATGTCATCACTTTTATTTAAAAAATAACCCAGATGATTTGTTAAATATTACGTTGAATTAGAATTTGTGAATAATAATAAAGAATAAATGTGAAAAGCGTATGCTTAAAATATTTCAATAATTACATACCGTCATTCTCAAGAAAAATCCAATCGTTTTCCTCGGAATCCAATTCTTTATGGGACTCTGACGTTAGAATATCTAAATTTGGATTTACATTGGTAAACTTTTCTTGCCTTTTACTTTTATTTTTCTTGTTGTTCCGGCTGTCCTTGTTGCGTATTACTTTTTGTAGTCCACCGGTAGTTACTGCTGTGGACTGACTTTCTTCAATAGCTGTTTTATCTTCAACGAAGCATGTTTTCGGGTCCTTGTCAGGCAAAATTTTAATTCGTTGCTCCTTCAGGTTTTCAGAGCAATTATTTCGTTGGCAATTCGTACCTTCTGTAGTATTCGATCCAAAGATGAATGCCGCAAGGCCACGAAACATTATGCAGTGATACCGAAGATGGTGCCAAGTAGTACAGATATGCTATTGTTAATAACAATTTTTTGAAGGCTATATCCGCTATACTGCTATTAGTAAAGGTATGAGGACTTTAAGCTGAACTATTCCGCCTGTGTCAGTCTTATTATATATACACTCAGGAATTATTGTCTACTTTCTGCCACTTTTTCCCTGTAAATAACAATCCAGAATGTACAATAATTAAATTATATTATTTATTATAAAAAATATAGCAATTAGTATTATTATAAATTTCATACGAAATTAGCCAGGTCATAAAAAGTAAGTGTCAAGATCTGAAGAAACTGTTTCACAAACGTGGTGATCCAAATCTTCAAGGGCGATCATCGATTGCCATTTTTTTGTGGGGTAAAGTCCGATATAACTCACCTGAACTAAACTTGAGAAGAAAGTTTAATAAAACATGAAATAAATGATTACATTAATTTTCTGTAAGTTTTTTTGATGTTATTGCGGCAACAGTCTTTGAACCCGAGCCTTCCGAATGGAAGCATGCATACCACTCGACTCTCGCAGTCGCCACTATATAAATAAAGACATTATTTTAGATAAAAAAATGGTTCATGTTGAAATCCCATTAAAAAAAAAGCCAGAAAGTTATTTTATGATCTAAATGTACATATATTATTGGTATATGTGGACGGTTTTCGGGTATTTTTGTTCGGAACAAGACGTACGTCAGGCATTTTAAATTGCAATTTTACATCATCGAAAAGTCGATTATATATTTGTTTTTAAAATGTTAAATATTCTTTAATATATCACTCTTAACACTGAAATTCATTTGCATAGTGGTTGGTACTGGTGAACTTTGCAGATCAGTTTTTTTAGCGATTTTAGTGGATGCTTCGGTTTCATTAGCATCAGCGTTGAAAACGAAAATTTCAATATATATATATGCGTTTTAATTAAATGGCTTAGTGTATTTTATGTTAACTCAAGTGATTTTATCGCAATTCAAATTAAGCTACTTTTTTAAATATAAATGAATTATGTACATACATATATCAAATGAATAATAATAACAAAACTATTTATTACTGAATAAAATAAGATTATAAACCTAAAATTTTGTTATTAGTAACCAAATTTCGTCGTCAACAAATGGATATGCTGACGTCAGAAAAAATATGCTGTTTGTATTATGTGTATATGTATGTACATATGCACATATACATACAAATGTATGTACATATATTTCCAAAAATCATCATTTGAAGCAAGGACAGTTATTAGTGTATGCATGTAAATATATTTGTACAAACATATTTACACTTACACAAATAACATTTTGATAAAAAAAATTGTTTCGTTCCAAGGGCTTATGCAATTGGAAATATCTTTTTTTGCCTGGCTGATTGGTAAGTATCCAATGAAGCAATGCACCTACATGCACTTATATAAACATTGTAAATATGTATGTACACACAAATTTGAGATGAAACTCCTTGAACTCCTGTTACAATATTTGAATAGTAGTTATTGAAAATATTTCCATACTATTATAATCTTACCAAAACTTTTCAAAAAATTTGATCGTAAGAAGTAACTTACCTAAATATGTATATTCTTTCACTTTCGCAAATATTCGACCCAGACACTGACTTATTCGACACAGCACTGTCAACTGAATTTAACATGAAAAGCCAAAACAGCTCATTTGGTCCCAGTCGAATAATAAAATACCAGCTTAGATAAAAACAACCACTAACAAATAAAATTTGTGAACATACAAACGGCTATATGTACATATGTAAATCTTATATACTCCTACCTGAGTAGAATTCTCAATACTATTGCAAGTATACTCTCCGAAAAACGAGAGTTCATGCACGTGTGAGATATATACTCTATGTGGACTATAGAGTAATCCAAAACTAACCACAATTAATACAAAAACTCAACCCTTGCATAACATCCGAGTAATCCACGATTACCTATATATAGGAAATCAATGCAGTACTTGTATATACGAAATTATATTCGAACATGGTTTAGAATATAATCCGCTTTAGTGAATAGTTAGAAAAACATATTTAACAATAATTTCCTGTATACAAGTGTAAATCTTATTGCGCACTGGTGAAGTTGAGATGTTAAAATTCGAGAAATCATCGGCTAACAACTTGTTGGTGGTGAGACATGTGTATGACCCAATAGTACATTACAGAGGATTATCTTTTGGATTACTCCAATAGGCAATATGATTCACACATGTATAGACACATTGTGTACGTGCATGTATATGCACATATCTCAATATATGTATACAAAAATTATACCGAGTATACTTTTGTGTATGTATACGTACATATGTATATATGTAAGTTGTATATTATATTAATGTAAAAATAACAAGAGTCAGCTGATTTTTGTTATGATCTTTAAAGAACAAAAGCAACCATGGTTATGTGAATGTTAGACAATTTCGCTTGGGTTCCAATACTTCCATATATGAATATTTAGAAATATATATACATACATACATATGCGTGTACATGTATTCATAAGCAATTATATATATAAATTCATAAATGAAAATTGCATGCCAAATATTATATGGGTGTTGCAAATAGAAGTACGTATATTTATAAAAGTATATATTTATCTATAGGTATGTATATGTTTTTTATTAATTGTGTGCTATGTAGATACCTACGAATATCTAAACTGATGTGTTAAGAAATGTCATTTGTTTACTAAGATATAAACATTGGTACACGCTTATAACTATATCATTTTACGAGTATATACATCAGTATATATACAAACATATTTGTATACTTGTATGAAAGTATTTACGCATCTGCGCAGCTGATACTTGTTAACCAACAATTGTTTTTGGTGCTTTTCCTAGAAATTCTGTTGCAAACATTCTGTTAACATTAATATATACATACAGTATGTCAGTTAATTGTTTGCAAAATGAAACAAACAAAAAATCTCTTCAAATTTTATTTTATAAATGAAATTATTTTATTCTCCTTTTTTTTATTAATTGGTATTGTTAATCTAAGTATTCTTAACAAATATCACTAGCAGAAATAACAAACATTAAAAGCAAACGGTAAAAAAATAACAAATTTAAAATTGGCCAAATACTGCTTTGTCAATTAATTCTTTGCAAAATGCCCACACAATTAAAAATAAAACGTAGATAATTTAACGGTACCACGAATTTGAAAACAAGTGAACGCGTTGCTCTATTACATTCAATTCGATTAATGCTTTGGACAGTTCAGATCTTGTTGATTTAGCCCTTTTAACAATGCCTGGCAAGCGAACTAACGAAAATCGTATTCAATTAATTTATTTTAACTATCACAAAAGGGAAATCTGCTAAGGAATTAGCGGAAAAGTTTTACATCAAGCTTAGATCGATTTATGATGCTATTAAAAGCGCAGAAAAAGAAAATTGGCGTTAGATATAAAAAAATGATTAGCTAGAATAGATAGCTAGAAAGAAACCATTGTTGTCGGTAGTTAATATTGAGAAGCGACTCAACTTTTCCATTACCAATGTTCATAAGATTGTGGAATACTGGGACGACGTTATTTTTTGCGACGAGACAAAAATAATATTATACTATCATGATGGAGAAAACCCAACCCAACTTTGAAACAGAAAAATATAATTCCAATAGTCACATTTGGTAAGCTTTCTGTAATGGTTTGGTGTTGCATTTCGTCGAAAGGTGGTGGTGAGCTTCGAATTTTCAATGACGTGATAACGAAGGAGTTTTACTTGGACATTTTAAAGAACGAATTGTCAAGGAGTGCGATAAGATTTAGATTTGTTGACCATGAAAACACTAATAAATTAAGGTACAAACTGTACCAGGACAACGATTCCAAATATAAATCATGGCTGTGCAGGTCGTGGCTACCATCTAATAGCAGTAAGGTGATTGGCACTCCTGCCCAGAATCTGAATTAAAACCCCATAAAAAATTTATGGGCTTTTTTAAAGAAGCGAGTGGGCAAACGGGGTCCAACTAATAAAAACGCTCTTCTTAAGGTCATTCAGGAAAAGTGGAAGAAAATACCTGAAAATTTCAGATGGCCATCATACCAAATATTAGTGCCAACCATGATATATTTTCCAAGTTTTAATAATATTTGCTATAATTATTTACAAAATCCAAACAATTAATTGACACCATAATATTTGCTGTCTTTTAAACTTTTATATCTCTTTTACTTTTATGTCTAAAATTCTGGAATTTGTGTGCATTAATTATGTTAAGATTACTCAGACTAATATTATTTAAAAAATAAAAGAAGTTAAAGAAAATTAATTTTGTTAATAAAAATCAAGTTGAAAAATGAATGTTTGTTTTTTTAATTTTGCAAACTTTTAATTGACTTCTGTATGTATGTATGTATATTACACATTAAAAAAGTATTATCTGTATACTTGCACAAATGTGTGTATTCATTTTCGTACGTTTTTATATGTACATATATAAACTCGTATATATCAATGAACATACGTTCATACATATGAGAAAGCTAAATTTATTTACTATAGTACTATATAGTACGTAGCACTATATACTTATGTACATACATATATATAAAATGTATTTATTTAAATTAGATTTTTCGGTGCTAATTTCTGAACAATCTTTTCACCTTTAATGCGCACAGCTGGAAGCTTTCCTATACATAATTATAATATACGCAAATATGTACAAACAAATATATTTGTGTACATAATTATTTACAGAATTGTGAATAAACGAATTTATATGTGCGATATGTTTAAACTTCCGACAAATCATACTCATAGAGGCTGAAATTCTCCCAACTTAGGCGAAAACACTTAGGTTTTGTTTTGTGCAATTTTATTTGATTTTCAAGTAGCAAAAGTGAAAATCTTCAACTCAACAAAACAAATACATACCCAATACTGCTACCACACAGCCACTTTTAAATCGTATGCTTACACAAATGGAACATACATACATATATACATATTAAGAACATTGGCCGAATTGTATCTTCGACTATTCCACAATACACAAATGTATGCATGTATGACGTTTTTATATTTGTTAAATTTCGGAATTGCAAATGGTTTTGTATTCCTACATATTTTAATTAAGATTCCCACAAACTACTGTTGTTTTTTGACCTAGGGGTACAAAAATTGCCAAGTGATTTTCAGAAATCAGTTTCCAGCTGAGAACAGTCAATGTATTTAACCAAGGCAACCTGGAGTTGAATTAAGATTTTGACAGATAGTATGGTGTAATTTTGTACGGTGCAACGTCGCTTTGAATTTTTGGTAGACGTAATTACATAAAGTTTTACTAAAAATTTGTATTAAATAATGATAATACAATTTTATTATTGCTTTTTTATTATATAAAAATAAATTGCAAATTTTCCCAATTTTATTCTGTTCAAGTAGTACCTGGCAATAAATGTTTCCAAAAATAAGTCTTATTTCAAAATCAACCCTGGCAGGGTGAATTTCGTACATATGTAAATTTATATAATATATATTTGGACTTATAACTTGTAATAAATGTGCAAAATGGACACGTTTAAGGAGCTACATGTCTTGCTAAACTTACAAAGTTTTTACTTGCGGAAATAGTTCGGATTGTAGACTACTGGTAGCACCGTTCCCGGGATTAGCTTTCTCGCATGATTTTAATATAGGTAGGATAGAAGACAACAATTGCAGGAAAGGTAGGAAATGTGTGTAAACAGTAGAGCATAAATCTGTAACCGTCTGGAATTCAGCAGGCAGGCTATTCATACTTGACGCAGAAACGCTACAAAACTCAATCGATAATGGACAAAGAACTAAACCGCCTACTCCAATTTGCGAACAGCTTTATTCTTCATGTGAAAGACAAAATAAAGAGTGTAGCAGTGCAGCTTGCTGGTATGTAGAGTATCTAGCAACACTGGGTGTAACATCGTCAAAGTGAGTCTTGCCGAAATTATTAATTATTTAATTTTATTATTTTAAATTAATTTTTTCTTCTACTGAAGCAATTTCATTAATTCCTTTGAGTAAGATTTTGTTATAAAATATGTTATGTATTCCAAATTCCAAAAAATGTAAATCATTTCCAAGCAGATTTTTAATAAAACTTCGATCAGCAGCGGCGTAATCAACTGTAATTACCTACAAACGATGTACACGAAACGTCGAACCACAAATAAACCATTCAAAAAGTCAAATTAAATCTCAGGTGCCTTAACCAAAATCTCATTAAAAAGCCATTTGCGAAGGTGTTCTTCACATAGTTTTTAAATGAAATTTAAAATATTGCCGAGTTGTAATATTATAAGACTTATTAAAGAAAACGATGAAAATAAATCACAAAAGAAATATAACAAATTTTACTAATTTATTTTTTTTTTCGTTTGAAAAATAATGATTTCATTCCCTGAAAAGAAAGTCTACTCTAAAGAATAAATTTAACGTAAGTAAATGATTTTATTTCATTTTCGTACAAATAACAAATGAATTGAATAGTGGTCCTTTCGACATAAATTGAGTAAATAGTTTTTTTTTATTGCATTTTCCGCTATATCATGAGAAATTGAAAGTAGAAAAATATTAACTTTTATAAATAACAAAAAAAGTTATTAATAACCAAGCAAGAGATTTATGTTATAATAAAATAGTGAATTTAAGGATAGCTTTTGGAGGCGAATAAAATTTATTAAACGTTTACATAATAGAAACTTTAGAAAATGTAAACGTAACTTGATTTTCTTTAAAAAAAATGTTTCTAAAATAACAATTTGCAAATATATGCATATGTATATGTTAAGGGCTCTATTCTTTAGTATTATAAAATATAAAAAGGTATGATTGGATTATAGTCAGTGGAATAGAATTAAGGAAATGGTTTTATATTTATAAGTTATAATAAAGAAAAACCGCCTCGTACTCGAACACACTATAATGATTGACGGAAGAAAGGACGAACATGAAGTTCCAGTCCTACAAATGAATGCAAAGCTTTCACAATAAATGGATGCACAGGATGGGTTCAATTCACATATGATTGCCAGCCAACCAAATCTCTTGAAGAGCTTGGACCTGAGATTGAGCGGCGGCACATTTGACTGTACAGAATAACTCGTAATAGTAAAAATTGAGAGATTTGTTAACGAAATACGCGACATATATACGAAAATAAGGACATGAACAAATGACAGTGTGGAGGTGGAAAATTATGATGTAACGAAGGAAGACATAGAAACGCTGAAATTGCTCAAAGAAAAAAGTTGTGGTCGGGCAACTTCACCTCGTACGCGATTGAAAGACGAGCTCCTTTAAACGGAGAGAATGATGAAAAAGCAACGCTGAAGAAAATATTTCTGCGAGTACATGCGTATGTTGGCTCCTAAAATTGCATGGTCCATAATCTCCATCTCTCAAATCGGAGAGAAAGCGAGTAATCATTCTATTTTTGGGTATGTTGATGGACAAACGCGAGAGCTAACAGTTGCTATGAGCTTACAAAAACTGGTAAGGACAGCCAGGTTATAGGAAAGGTAAAATTTGGTAATTGGTAATAGCTGATGAATTCAAAAGATGTGTGGATTTTTCCCTGGATCAAAGAATGAATAACGATTTCACGAAAAGGATCAATAGATCAGATCAGTAAAGAAATACCGCTAAGAGGAGGATTAAGGGAAGACTGCCTTTAGCATTGGAATATGTGCCTTCGGTTTATGAAATTCCAATCGCAAAAGCATTCTGAGCATAATGGAGAGGTTTTAAGTTCATATCTGGCAGTTTACTTAGAGAATGGGGAAGCCAAAATAGTAGTTCAGAAGCTAAGAATTTCAGATGTGGTCAAGGGCAGATTAGGAAAAAGTACGTGCAAGCCAGGAAGCTAAACCAGTAGCGAATGTATTCATCTACATTGTGTTGCGAGATACGGTGCCTTATAAAACTGCATTCTGACTAAGAAAGACATTATTGAGGGCGGTGTTGCAAAATATTCAACTGAACCCTTGAAGAGCCCTTGAGGAAGGTCCTTAACAATTATCAGATATATGCTCTTGTGAGACAGCGAATCCAAATTACTAGGAACAAGATACCAGGGATGATAAGATTATGAAATCCTATGGTTTCCGAAATGGAGATTTTGTATTGATATGTAATTCACAGCTGAACAAAGGTTTACCATCAAAACTCCAATGCTGTTGGGGAAGGTTTCATAGACAGTCATACGGTTAAACGGCGCAGAGTACCCAATACAGTTGTAAAATAAATCGTTGTGTATAGAAAAGCGGATGGTTTTTTATGTTGTATTAAAGAAACGTTGAATAAATTCTTTATAATAAGAAGTTGTACTACAAAAATGGTGTTTTTCATTGAACAATCCAGTGTCCAAAGAACCTGGGAAATCATTGGGATTAATTTCGCCAAATTGTTACCTATTATTTTGAGCATTAGGCAATACAATTCAAACATACAAATGTTTATATTATCTCTTTTATTTATCTGAAATTACAAGTACTTGCTTACATACATATTTATGTGTATATGTTACAAATCATCTTGAAAAAGCATTTAATGCTTGGGGTAAGAGTAGTCTTATTATGTACTATTAACTATAACTTTTTAGATAGTTATTTAGGCTAACTACAATATGTGTTATGTAATTATTTATGTAATTATTTATTATGTTGAGGTTTATACACACGTGTATATAAATATTTAGGAATAAAAATTATCAGATAACTTATAACTCATACATAATTATAATCATTATATACCAATTTTTAAGGACGCCATATCTAAGCTTTTGTGATGAAGTCGAAAAAGGAATAACCGGCCGAATGTAATCATATCCATAGTCTTTGTGAGGAGATTAATGGGTTATTTGAGTTGGTAGAGAAATAGAACCGTTAGTACTGTAAGGCACAGTAAAAGCTACTAAAGGTGGATTATATGAATACCCAATCGATTTGGTAGGAATTACTTTTTTGACGAAGTGGTGATAGGATGGGTTCTGTGTATTGCTGCTGGTAAGTTTTTACGTGGAAACTCCAGGTGTTTTCAGGTGGCGAATATGTGTATCCGGCTTGCTTTACAGGCGATGACGGAGGTAGAATTAGCGATATTTTTGGCTTAGGATAAGAGTTTTTACGTGGAAGCTCCAGGTGTTTTTCAGGTGGCGAATATGTGTATCCGGCTTGCTTTACAGTCGATGACGGAGGTAGAATTAGCGATATTTTTGGCTTAGGATAAGAGTATCCTTCAGATTTGGGTGTTTTAATAGTTCGGGTATTTTTGGAAGTGCTTATTGGAGCATCAGGTTGTATGTGTCCTACAGTTGTTGCAGTTTTCAATGAAGAAATAAATGGTCTTGAAGGCTTAGGGTACGAATAGCCCTTGGATTTAGGTGCCTTTTCTTCTTTTGTCTTAAATATCGCGTTCTCAGAAGGTTGCGTTGGAGTTAATTTAGGGGAGAATATTTAGTTTGGGAGTAAGATAAACAGTGTAGAAGGTCGAGGATACGAATAACCTTTTGACTTTGGAGAATTCGTCTTCACATGCGATGTATAAGTTGTTTTAGACGAAGTGCTGTTACTGGTTTTTGTCGGTACAGTTCTTATTTCAAATGATGGAAAATTAGGTAATGTTGTTAGTTTCGCAGTAAATGGTACTTCTTCTATGAAAGGAACTTTCGGGTGTGCATAATTGTAGCCTTGGTGTTGTACAGTTGACGGTTTGGTTGTATGTTCCACAGTTGTTGTTTTAGTTGAATAGGTCGTGTGGTTGAATTCAAAAGCGGAACTTCGATATTTTTGGCTTAGGATAAGAGTATCCTTCAGATTTGGGTGTTTTAATAGTTCGGGTATTTTCGGAAGTGCTTATTGGAGCATCAGGTTGTATGTGTCTTACAGTTGTTGCAGTTTTCAATGAAGAAATAAATGGTCTTGAAGGCTTAGGGTACGAATAACCCTTGGATTTAGGTGCCTTTTCTTCTTTTGTCTTAAATATCGCGTTCTCAGAAGGTTGCGTTGGGGCTAATTTAGGGGAGAATATTTGGTTTGGGGGTAAGATAAACGGTGTAGAAGGTCGAGGATACGAATAACCGTTTGACTTTGGAGAATTCGTCTTCACATGCGATGTATAAGTTGTTTTAGATGAAGTGCTGTTACTGGTTTTTGTCGGTACAGTTCTTATTTCAAATGATGGAAAATTAGGTAATGTTGTTAGTTTCGCAGTAAATGGTACTTCTTCTATGAAAGGAACTTTCGGGTGTGCATAATTGTAGCCTTGGTGTTGTACAGTTGACGGTTTGGTTGTATGTTCCACAGTTGTTGTTTTAGTTGAATAGGTCGTGTGGTTGAATTCAAAAGCGGAACTTCGATATTTTTGGCTTAGGATAAGAGTATCCTTCAGATTTGGGTGTTTTAATAGTTCGGGTATTTTCGGAAGTGCTTATTGGAGCATCAGGTTGTATGTGTCTTACAGTTGTTGCAGTTTTCAATGAAGAAATAAATGGTCTTGAAGGCTTAGGGTACGAATAACCCTTGGATTTAGGTGCCTTTTCTTCTTTTGTCTTAAATATCGCGTTCTCAGAAGGTTGCGTTGGGGCTAATTTAGGGGAGAATATTTGGTTTGGGGGTAAGATAAACGGTGTAGAAGGTCGAGGATACGAATAACCGTTTGACTTTGGAGAATTCGTCTTCACATGCGATGTATAAGTTGTTTTAGATGAAGTGCTGTTACTGGTTTTTGTCGGTACAGTTCTTATTTCAAATGATGGAAAATTAGGTAATGTTGTTAGTTTCGCAGTAAATGGTACTTCTTCTATGAAAGGAACTTTCGGGTGTGCATAATTGTAGCCTTGGTGTTGTACAGTTGACGGTTTGGTTGTATGTTTCAAAGGTGAAACAGTAGGACGTGTGGTTGACTTCAACGATGGAATTTGAGTTGATGTTCTTTCTTCGTTAAACGCTACTTCCGGGTGTGGATAACTGTAGCCCTGATGTTGCACAGTTGTCGTTTTAGTTGAATAGTCCAAAGGTAAAATAATAGGTCGTGTGGTTGAATTCAAAGGCGGAACTTCTGTTGATGTTCTTGCCTCGATAAATGGTACTTCCGGGTGTGGATAATTGTAGCCTTGATGTTGTACAGTTGTCGTTTTGGTTGCATGGTCCAAAGCTGAAACAATAGGACGAATGGTTGACTTCAAAGGTGGAATTTGAGTTGATGTTCTTCCCTCAAAAAACGCTACTTCCGGGTGTGGATAATTGTAGCCTTGGGGTTGTACAGTTGACGGTTTGGTTGTATGGTCCAAAGGTGAAACAGTAGCACGTGTGGTTGACTTCGAAGGTGGAATTTGAGTTGATGTTCTTTCCTCGATAAACGCTACTTCCGGGTGTGGATAACCGTAGCCTTGATGTTGCACAGTTGTCGTTTTAGTTGTATAGTCGAATGGTGAAAGAATAGATCGTGTGGATGACTTTAAAGGTGGAACTTCAGTTGATGTTCTTGCCTCGATAAATGGTACTTCCGGGTGTGGATAACTGTAGCCTTGGTGTTGTACAGTTGTCGTGTTGGTTGTATGGTTTAAAGATGAAACAATAGGACGAGTGATTGACTTCAAAGGTGGAATTTGAAATGATGTTTTTCCCTCAAAAAACGTTACTTCCGGGTGTGGATAATTGTAGCCTTGGTGTTGTCCAGTTGTCGGTTTGATTTTTGGGTCAAAAGATGCAACAATAGGTCGTGTGGTTGACTTCAAAGGCGGAACTTCTGTTGATGTTCTTGCCTCGATAAATGGTACTTCCGGGTGTGGATAACTGTAGCCTTGGTGTTGTACAATTGTCGTTTTGGTTGGATGGTCTAAAAGTAAAACAATAGGACGTCTGGTTGACTTCAAAGGTGGAATTTGAGTTGATGTTCTTCCCTCAAAAAACGTTACTTCCGGGTGAGGATAATTGTAGCCTTGGTGTTGTACAGTTGTCGGTTTGGTTTTATGGTCAAAAGATGAAACAAAAGATAGTGTGGTCGACTTCAAAGGTGGAGCTTCAGTTGAGATTTTTGGCTCGATAAATGGTACTTCCGGGTGTGAATAGCTGTAGCCCTGAAGTGGTAACGGCATATCATAGTTATAATTTGCCAGTGTACTTGTTGATAACAAAACAAATACAAAAGCTGCCAGTGGAAATGTCTGAAAGGATTTAAGTTAAGATTATATAAGGAAAAAACGAATTTATCTTTACATATATTTGTTCATCTCTGAAAAGCTGCAAATCGTATAAGCCAAGAAAATATCACTGCCTAAAAACCGTAGACTAACCATATTTAAAATAACTTTCTCTTAATGTTTTTACCGAATGACCGCAACCCAACTATATAATCTTACTTTTCGAACGCTAGTTTATTATCCAAAAAATTGATGGAATTAATTTTCATTCGATCGTAATGCTTGCATCTTTCAAGGATCTGGTATGCGATATATTACTCTCTGAATCAGTGTAGTACCAAATACTTGATTCAACAGGAGCAATAAATACAGCATATTTTCTAATTAGAAATAGACAATGCGTAAAGGACACCTATCAACACAGAAAAAAACAACCTGAAATTACTTTAGCTGATACAAAGCTGCGAAAGGTCGAGTGGTTAACATAGCGTACTGCCATTCGAAAGGTCAACGTTCTAGTCCTGATCCGACCAACATCCAAAAATTGTAGGAAATTAATATAAATAAAAAAGTAGGATAAATTTTCTAATTGTGGTCGCCCCTCGGCAGAGAGTGTCAAGAAGACATGAAATAGAAGCTCCACGTAAATAACCATCAGCCGTGCGGAGGCGGCTTAGTATAAACAATAAATCTCTCTATTTATTGGGAAAACATCAAGACGCTTTACTGAGTGGAAGGCCAGATTTGTCGAAAATGTCGATAAAATAATTGATTAAATCGAGTCCGACCATCATGTAAGCTCTATTTCGATTGCCCAAGGGCAATTTCATAAAAAATTAAGGGATTTCTTTTTACTAAACTGAATTATATATATGTATATGCATACTTATATACATTTTTTCGGCCGTAATATACTAACTGCGCACAGCGAAGAGATATGTACATATATAATATTTACACACGATTAGTATCTAAATCATATCTGTTTAGGAGCAATACCCAAGTCATTACCACTGCATACTACCATCGGGATGGCCAGGGTTCGGTCTCGGAAAGTATCGAGAAAACTTTATTCTCCTGAAAGGGTGTGATAGTTATAGTGAGTTCGAAACATTTTCCATAAGTAATTAACAGGGGTCCTCAAATAAGCCTAGCTCCTTAACATTGAAATATGAAAGCCAGATAAGCTGCCTGGAAGTTCATGTAAATATCAGCCACAGAAGAGTAGATCTGTTTCACAGGAAGGTAGTTTCCCCAACTTTTATATTTATATTTACTGTGGCCCTTGTATTAAGTAAAGCCAATATATATAAACTGATTTGCTTTTTTTACGCTGAAGTTTACAGGGGAATCCAAAAAAGGCATTAAAAACACGTTGGTATTGTACTGGTATTATACTATATGTAATTGATAATTCGTTAGCTAGGTATCTGTATAAAGTTTATTAACTTTGCATACGAAAAGATTATTTGTAGCAGCTATTAAATACAAATGTGTATATGTATACCTTTGTGACTTAAAACCCGCCCACGCTATTATTTCATTTTAAGTTTGCGTTATATGAATAAATTCTAATGTCCAAATCTTACGCCTAATGGACATTTATTTTATATATATATATAAATATAATATATATAATATACGCGACTATGTGTAATGGGTACACTGTAAGCGTGACGTAAATGTGAACACTTAACGATAAACACGCGTTCGAAGCCTCGACAAATTCAATTACATGAGTAATTAAATTCAACCAATAGAAATATCATTGATATATTACGAATCTATTTTGTTTTGTTAATATGAAAAATAAACTTAACGATTGTTTCGTTCCGGGTCATGTTATCGAAACGCAAAAACTCATCGTTAACGTTATTTTTAAAATGACTTAAAATCCAAAATAAAAGATATTTTGATAACTGGATGTTCTTTCAACCGAACCGAGAGAATTTTTTTGATTAACGTGAAATTTATCATTACAACGCAGTCTTGCTTTCAACACTTCACTTGTTAGCATTGCACCATCCTTAATGTGCAATTTAACTCCCTAAGTGTTCTCAATTTGTTAAACGGGTTTTAGATATTTCGTTCAAGTAGGAGTATCAAACAAAACATTTTTCTTCTTAATTTGCGTAAGCGTTTTACTTTATTATAGTCGAAATAATACATATTATATGTACGTAAATACAATGCAACAGTTTCCGCTCTTGAAGCAAAACCTTGAGCGGGATACGGCAGCGGCAGTACTTTTTGAAATGTTGTAATACGTAGCTTTAGGCTTATTGTATTATTTGGGATTTTTATATATATATATATACGTGTATTGGTATTAATATGTGATATGATCACTCTTTGAACGTGAAAAATGCCACTTTGGCACTTTAGTCTTTGTTGCTGGTCAGACCAGTCTGTCTTTCTGGCGGCCACAGGTCATTGTAGTTCAAGGCTCACAATGCGTTTCCGGTCATATGTACTTTTTTTCGTATAGTTGGCTAAAACTTGTACACATCGTTAACTATATTAGTATACATATGTATGTGTAGTTACAAAAATAGTTTGCGTTACACTGTTATAGAAAATTTTTATGTATATGAATGTAGCTGTATTAGTTTAGTGCTTCCCAAAATCTTATGATGAATGACCAACTGCAGCTTTAAAATATGGGTTGTGCAAGAAAATTTATATTTTGTGAAGCTCATCTATATTACAAAAAAAAAAATCATTATTATACAAAACACACACGAAGTAAAAAATCAATTTAATCTCTGAAGATATGTAAATATACCATCAATTTTATTTATGTAACCGTGTTATTTATTGACTTTAAATCAGTTAGTTTCATTTATTCAGCAATTTTGTATTCACCTTCAATAACTTTGCACTCATCATATCTACTATAATATTGCTTTCAACACTTTTAAATTTGTTAAAAAAATTATTCTTAAAACAAAAGAATCCAAATACGTTTTTTATTTGTCTCTCATCTAATCGTTAAAGCTTTTTCCAATATTTTGGTACTGAAAAAGGCAACACACTGGGAAATAATTATATTGCCGCCACAGTGTAAATAAAAAAAAACTTTCACACAGTTTCTGGTTTTTGTTTATATCTCTCAGTTCTGGCGAGGTGAGCTCGAGCAGAATTTCAAACTAAATACCAGCGCAGTGACGGTGCTTGTTATATTTATGACATACGAGTGTGCTGAGATTCGCCTTACATTGATACGCAAAGAAGCCAAAATGTTTCGTTTTTTAACTGTCTAAAACATTGCGAATCATTGATGTTCACAAAGCAGACAAATATTTATGGGAAACAACAAGTTTTACACTGATTCCATTGTTCTTAAAAACACAAATCCCAAATAAATATAACTTTGTAGGAAGTTAAAAGATAGCATTAACAAATTGGTATATATATGTAGATATATGTACATATGTACCAACGATCTTTATAAAAAAAAAAAACAATAATATTAATAAAAAAATTAAGTAAATTTTTCTAAATGCTAACTTTAAGCAAACGAGAACTTGGTATTCTTGGACTATTGACGGTTCATCACCCCTAAGGTATCATCTCTACAAGCTGAATAGATTGGAGCTGGCTGAGTTCAGAGCTTGCATAGCAAATGTCGAAATGCTTGAGCACCACATTTGGAAATGTCTGGCCTTCAGCCGATTGAGGCGGTGCCTACAGATCTAACCTTATGGAGGACACACATGGTTGAAAGAAATTAAATTATATATATTTGACGCTTTGTAAATAAATTTATTAAATTATAGGAGCACAATAAACTTTCTCTATGGTTTAGGTGTGAATACTTGTGGCCAGCCATATATACATATATGTGTACGTATGCATGAATATAATTATTATATTTTAGCAAACTTGGCATAAAGGAAACAGTCGGAGTGGAGCTGAAGTTAAGAATATAAAGCTTCAGTTTGGTTCGTGAGTGGGAAACTTCAGCAACTCAATGCTTTCACTGAATCTAATTTAGAAGGAGGAGTTAAAAAACGCATCAAAATTACAGCGAATAATGGCAAAATGCTTACAATCCAAGAGAAGACATAGTAAAAATTACGTATTGAATCTTGAAATTGAAAATTAATAGGTGAACGAGGCATATTTCGTGACCCGTCTTGAAAATTCTACACTGATAACAAGTTCAGTTTTTGTCAAGAAGTAAATTTTTTCTTCTTCCGAAGGCTCTCGATTTTTCGAGCTACATTCGTATTTGGTACGTATTGTTTAGCGCATTTTGAAGTTGATGTTATCGAAAGGACGTATTTCATTTGTAGATTTTATTTCACTGAAATTTGATTTTCAATTTGATTTATTCCTTAGTTCGGCAACGATAGTTGCTGTGTTCTTTCAATTATCTGATTCAAAACTAAAGCTGGTACATTTATATTGTGTGTAGCAAAAAGTTATGATTTGATAAAACTCTTCGTAAAACATATATATATATGTTCCTGCGGTTTGCATCGCCGACGCTGTCGTCGTTTTTCGACATTCTCTCCACCCAAATTTGCTATTGCCATTCATAAATGCCATTTTTCATTTGTACATCAGAAAATGTTACTTGCCCAGCGGAAAATTTTTTTTTTCAGTTTAGTTTTAAGAGCAAAGTTACCTTTAAAAATATACATATATAAGTATATTATGGTCGTTTCTAATATTTAAATACATTACTTGTTGCCGCCGTAGAGATGCGTCTTCCATAAATCTTCGAAAGCACAAGGCTTGATGTTTGCATTGGAATTTTTAAATTTTTAACAATTTACAGTACATTTTCAATGTGGGTGACAATTTATAAGCTTTCAAAGATAATCCTTTCGGGTAGTACTGGTAAGCTCTTTTTAAGTACAGATTACTCAGTATTGCTAAAAAGGTTAAGATCTCAAAATATGGTCTCCTTCTTAAAATATCGAACAAAATAAATAAATAATTACAAATAAGCAAGTCACGCGAGTGATATTTGTAGAAGGCTTTGAGAAATAAATATGAGATTTTATAAAGTATTCTTCCTTGATCTTATGTAAATTTGTATCCACCAAAATTATATTATTTTAAGGATTTTGAAAAATTTTTTTGGCCACAAAAAGCGGTGCGTGGACCATAGTGCTCTGCTTCAATACTTTATAAATTAATGACACTAAAAAAATTATCAGATTGGTCCGACCAACATCTATGAAAATTATAAAAAATAAATTTAAATAAAACATTAAGTTAATTTTTGTTGCCCCTCGGCAGAAAATGTCAACCATTTTGGGTGTATTTCTGACATGAACGCCATTAGACGTTCCAGGCGGCTTAATATACGGTGTAGGTTCCTCCATTTGTTGGAAAAACATCAAGACGCATACAATAAATTGGAGAAGGAGCTCGGCTGAAAATCGCTTAACCGGTTACAAAGCGCCAATTATATAAAATATCACAAATGAATCAATAAATAAATATCACCATAAATTAAAATTTAAAATATTAGCAGAACTTTACATATTTAAATTGTTTTGCATCTGTATGTATGTATATCAATTGACTTCAGTATTTTAAAAGCAGTGTTTTTAATTCATGTAATATTTTGGAAACTGTGTAGGTACATACACGTACTTATGTAAATACATATTTTTATATTAGCGGTTGATTGAACTCAAGTATTATAAAATTTACATACGATTTAAGTTCAAATCCATGGACGAGGTGTGATCAGAAAATATTCGTTAATTTTAAATTTCGTAAGTTATGTATGTCGATTTTCGTTTTTTTTTTCTGTTATGTTGGTGCACATGTCTGTTATATATGTTGGCAATATCAGCCATTTTAGATTGTCAGTTTGTTTTTTTTTAGTGTTTTGGTGTGCTATTCGATTTTTTTTTATTCAAAAAAATGGACCAAAGAAACTATTGAGTTTTGTGTAAAAAATGAAAATAAATGCGCAAGGACATTTGAAATGTTGACTGTGGCGTTTGGCGAGTCTACGATGAGCAGAACACAAGTTCGATTGTGGTATAACCGGTTTAAGGAAGGCCGAAAAGATGTCAATGACAATGCTCGTCATGGTCGCCCGAGTACGTCAAGTTCGGTCGAATGTGAAGATTTCGCTCACTGTTTTCTTCGACTGGAAGGGCGTGGTGCATCGAGAATTCTTGCCAAAAGGTCGTACGGTCAATAAGGAATACTGCCTAGAAATTATGCGTCGTTTGCGCGAAACAATTAGTTAGAAACGCACAGGATTCCGAAACAATAATAGATTTTGCACCATGATAACGCACCAGCTCACACATCGATGCTTGTGGCGTGAGTTTTTGGTCAAAAATAAAACCGTTATCATGCCTGAACCACCGAATTTACTGTGCTTGTCCCCCGCAGACCTTTCCTTCCCAAAACTGAGGACACCGATGTAAGGAAATCGTGTTGCTACGATTTTGGAGATAAAAGAAATTGGCGACACCAAAAAACGCGTTTTAGTAGTGTTTTCAGATTTGAAAAAAAAACGCTTGCATAAGTGTATTATATCTGCGGGGGATTACTTTGAAGGGTACTAGATAGTTATTGAGGAATATATAAATACTTTTTGAAAAAATTAAAAATAACGGTTATTTTCTCCTATATACATACCTACGTTAAATTCTTGTCGGAACCTCCAATAATATAAATTTAAATTTATAAATGTAAGTATCCTGCTTTATTCACTTCTTAATAATCAATAATAATTTCGAGGTGAAGTTCAAGTAATTGACTTCATTGCAATATAAAAATACAAACATAAAATGTTTAAGAAGTTTTTTATTAGTGGAGAAGGGGTCATACCTAAATGCCTTACACATACACATAAATACATACAAACATGAATGCATACACACATTCATATGTGTCAGACAATGACCATTCATAGATTTTCTTTTAAACGTTGCTTTAGATCTGCGACGGATTTTTTGATTATTTGGAGAGATTTGTGTAAGTATTTAATCTTTAAAACAGGAAATAAATTTCTGCTGAATTCGTAAAATCAAAATTAATTTCTAATATCAAAAAAAAAAAAACAAAAAATGCACCCTATCTTTTCCCTTAGGTTGGCTTAGTAAATAATGAACACCACAATGTATATACATATGTACGGTAGTCAAAATTATTATAAGTTTGCATTTTGAATATACTCCTTTCTAAATTTCTTTCTAAAATTTTGTTAAGTAATACATTAAAAACACTGCGGCCTAATTAAAATACTCAAACCTGATTTTAGTTTAAAAATTTGCCCACTCAATTTCAAAATAAAAAAAACAACAGATACATACTCGTACACTAGGTTGCCTTTCACAAATATAAATTCTAACGGCTTTGACGTCTTTGGGATTACCTGATTTGGAAGTCTTTTAGTTCACATATACTGTTATTATACCCGGTTGTGGTATGTTTGGTGGGTATATTTGTTTTGTCTACTTATATACGCCAAAGTACCGTCAACAGTCATAATCGAAATTGTAAATAATTTTATCTATCTTAGAGCTTTCATCAGCATCAACCAGCAAATTTGAGATCCAGTATATAATCAGCCTTGTTTATAAGCGCAAATAAGTAGCAAAATCGTCTTCCAACTTCTTACTACATCCGCGAATTCCAGCTTTACAGTTTTCGTGTTATACCATTGTGGTTTTCTATTCAATTGATAATAATAGGATCCAAACGTTTAAATCCGTTGATAAATAACTTGTTTTACGACAGCTTACGGATTTCGCTTACAGAATTAGTGCATTCAAACATGAAAGTTTAATATAATATTTCCTCTCTTTTACATCTTGTAAAACTCGTTTCGATAGCTAAACAGTTTTCCAGCCGAGTATTCAGTGTACAGAGGTATATTAATTTTGTTCACTGAAATATCGTCAGCACATACATATCAACTTATATCAGTTTACCATAACCTAAATATATTGTACTGCTTCAGAGATTGGTAGCATATGTATAATTCTGGAAAATCTAAAACAAGGGAATGCTAAGTGTTTATGCCCAATAAACCCATCTCTGCATTAGCGGCATAAGCATTACGTTCTGCCATTATGAAGGCCAGAGTTCGAGTGATGGTTCTACCAACTTGACAACTATTAATAAGTCGACGTTAGAAATTTTTGAGAGAAAGGTTTTGCGTT